TACCTGTATAACACCTGTATGACATTATAACCTGTAGAACACCTGTATGACATTAGTACCTGTATAACACCTGTATGACATTAGTACCTGTATAACACCTGTATGACATTATAACCTGTAGAACACCTGTATGACATTAGTACCTGTATAACACCTGTATGACATTAATACCTGTATAACACCTGTATGACATTATAACCTGTAGAACACCTGTATGACATTAGTACCTGTATAACACCTGTATGGCATTAGTACCTGTAGAACACCTGTATGACATTATAACCTGTAGAACACCTGTATGACATTAGTACCTGTATAACACCTGTATGACATTAGTACCTGTATAACACCTGTATGACATTAGTACCTGTATAACACCTGTATGACATTATTACCTGTAGAACATCTGTATGACATTATTACCTGTATTATACCTGTATGACATTATTACCTGTATAACACATGTATGACATTATAACATGTATTATACCTGTATGACATTATTACCTGTATAACACCTGTATGACATTATTACCTGTATAATACTTGTATGACATTATTACCTGTAGAACACCTGTATGACNTATGACATTTTTACCTGTATAACACCTGTATGACATTATTACCTGTAGAACACCTGTATTACATTATTACCTGTATAACACCTGTATGACATTATAACCTATATAACACCTGTATGACATTATTACCTATATAACACCTGTATGATATTATTACCTATATAACACCTGTATGACATTATCACCTGTATAACACCTGTATGACATTATTACCTATATAATACCTGTATGACATTATTACCTGTATAACACCTGTATGACATTATTACCTATATAACACATGTATGACATTATTACCTGTATTATACCTGTATGACATTATTACCTATATAACACCTGTATGACATTATAACATGTATAACACCTGTATGACATTATAACATGTCAAACACCTGTATGACATTATTACCTGTTTAACACCTGTATGACATTATTACCTGTATAACACCTGTATGACATTATTACGTGTTTAACACCTGTATGACATTATTACCTGTAGAACACCTGTATGACATTATTACCTATATAACACCTGCATGACATTATGACATGTCAAACACCTGTATGACATTATTACCTGTTTAACACCTGTATGACATTATTACCTGTATATCACCTGTATGACATTATTACCTATATAACACCTGTATGACATTATTATCTGTTTAACACCTGTATGACATTATTACCTATATAACACCTGTATGACAGTATTACCTATATAACACCTGTATGACATTATAACATTTAAAACACTTGTATGATATTATTACCTATATAACACCTGTATGACATTATTACCTGTTTAACACCTGTATGACATTATTACCTGTTTAACACCTGTATGACATTATTACCTGTATAACACCTGTATGACATTATTACCTGTATAACACCTGTATGACATTATTACCTGTATAACACCTGTATGACATTATTACCTGTTTAACACCTGTATGATATTATTACCTGTATAACACCTGTATGACATTATTACCTGTAGAACTCCAAGTATAATCTCTAACTGATCCTCCCTGAGAGTAAGGAGATGGCTGAGTTTGCGGAGACTGTTGATGGCATTGAGACGTACACTCTTGATCTCATCATTGAACATATCGATGATGCTGTCCTGGGAAAGAGCAGCAAAGCTTGGTGACTGAACAGCCAGCTCACAAAGGGAATCCAAGGAGGCATTCCTCACCTCTGTCAAAGTCACAAATACATATTTATTGGTGTAGGGCAAGAGGTAAGATCCTGAGAGCGTGTTAAAAGGCATTTAGCCATTGTAGAAACATGATAGAATTTATGAAATTTTCTTACACTGCCAACAATATATAACAAAACAAATATTAGCTGGGGGTCCCACACGAGTCGCCTTGCAATAACATTAAATGTGAAACAGCAGGCCTATTCAATGCAAGGGATTTCACGGCATGAACTGTTTTGATATAGATGCAAAAATACCTAAAAACTCATCCTCTAGACCATGGACAAAGGCCCCACAGGCTCCAATGTTCATCAAGGAGACAGCGTCAGGGTCCACATGCTCCTTTGGAGCGTCATCTGCAAACTTTTGCCCCGTTGCCCACTGGCCAGAGGAAAAATGCTCCTTTGCCCTCTCGTGAGCACTCTCCTTTTTCTATTGATACAAAGTGAAAATTTTTAACTCACTCAAATATTTGTTTTTTAATACAGTAGAAACGTGTTTGTCTGCCTACACAATGATAAAACCAATATGAAAATGAGATTCCCATTTTCTGAGATTTTTCACAGGTGACCACATACCTTTTCATGTCTGAATGGGGAATCGAACCCATGTTTAAAGGTGGGTGCGTTATCCTTTGCACCCACCAAAAAAAACTTAATTTTGCTCCATTTATGTTAAAAATCTAAATCAACATATCAAAATTAAACATTTGACCTAGGTCACATTTACTGGGTAAATACCTGTCGATTCTTTAAATGTATACCCTTATGTTTTGTTATATTACACCAGCTAATATCACTATTTACCCTCATGTTAGACATCAACTTCTTGTCCAGGGTCTGTTCAAGGAACTTTGGACTCACTTGATGTAGAGAACCCTGAAACCACATTCAAACCACATGTTTACTTTTATCTGATCAATTAATTTACCCGTGAAATATTAGCCTTCATCTCCCTAATATACCATCATCCATGTTCACACCAGCAAAATTAACTGAATCAATGTTAGGTTGTAACGTCTCATAAGGATCTTGATCCTTGCACAGGTAATGTAAGTGAATAAGAATAGGATCCAGAAACCAATTTATTAAAATAAAAATTGATGAAAAGATGAACAGGGGGATTTTAATATACCCACCAGTAATGTAGCAGCCTCGACCCTCACAATCATCGAGATATCATTGATCATGTTGCAGATCTTGGTGAAGCCATCGTCTACCAATCGTAGTTTCTCGTCTGAGTCAGGCACAGCAATCAGACTACGAATCGAAAAAAGTGAAACAAATGTGTAACTAAAACTTGTTGAGGGAGTAAGAGTGTTACATCACAGGTATTAGCCTCGTCTGTCAATTCACCTATACATTGTACCTATTCTGTAAATACACCTTTAAGATTATATAATAGGTGTATTGATAGACGAGGCTAGCTAGTACCTGTGGTTGCATAAACACTCATGATCTCATATGTAGTAGGTACTACACTTGCTGACCTTTAATACTTAATGCTGGGTTTTGTTTACAGTAGATATCATTTGATGTTCTTCATGCATGGTTCAAATTGGTAGAAATAAAATGGGCAAAACAATCATCTACATACTGATCAATCTTTGAAACCTCCGGAGAGATCTCCCTCTGATCACCTCTTCAGAGAAGTTTTTTTTTATAATGATGTTTTACCGGTCTTATAGAAGATTTTATGTTACAATATATTATCTTAATTGTGTTAGGGAAACATTATTCTTTGTTTCCCTTAGAAATCAAAATTCACTCAGGCTGTAGGCTTTGCCCCAGTTAAACATGAAATATCTAGGAGAAACAAAGAATTGTGTAGCTAGCTGCCACAAGAGCAATACACACATGTATTTTATCATACCAAAATCAAAAAGTAACACAGCCCTACTATTATTGCCTGTTTCACTCACTCAGAACTCAGATGTGCTGCCTTTGACTCATTTTTCAAGAGAACATATTTTCTGCATAAGGGAAATATGACCAGGGAAACTTAAGTGCAATACAGAAATATGATGTTCTATTGTCCCTTCCCACAAATAATATAATCCAGTTGGACATGCACATACATTTATATATATGAGGTATCTTATATATAATGATACAGTCACCCACCTTACATCAATAAAATGCACTCACTGACCTGTCAGGGTATAGATGGCTGAGAACCCAGACTAGTTTGATGGCAGCAAGTCTGACCCCTCGGTAATCATCGGTGAGCGCAGAACATGCCTGCTGGTAGATCCCCTCCCCTAGGGGCAGGCCCCGTTGATGAAACTGAAGCTGTGAAAACACAGAGCACACAGGGTATTTGTATGACTCAGTTGACACTCATTGCCCAATCAGTATGAGTGAAATACAAATACTCTGTTTGTAGTATTGAAGCTATGTTCCTCAAGGACAAAGCAAGAGGAAAACATCATTGAACACAGGGTGAAAACATGTTTCCTTACCACAACAAAAGTCAATAAAATAAAATTTGCATTACTATGAAACAGAAAAAAAATAAACTAAATTATAAACTCTTTACATATCAATAACTAAGACCTGGTCATGAGAGGGAAATATGATTGAGTGAGGGAAATATGATTGTGTGAGGGAAATATGATTGCGTGAGGCAAATATGATTGTGCAAGGGAAATATGAATGTGTGAGGGAAATATGATTGTGTGAGGTAAATATGAAGATGTGAGGCAAATATGATTGTGTAAGGGAAATATGAATGTGTGAGGGGAAACATTAGTGTGTGAGGGAAATATGATTGTGTGAGGGAAATATGAGTGTGTGAGGGAAATATGAATGTGTGAGGGAAATATGAGTGTGTGAGAAACATGAATGTGTGAGGGAAATATGAATGTGTGAGGGGAAATATGAATGTGTGAGGGGAAATATGAGAGTGTGAGAGAAATATGAATGTGTGAGGAAAATATGAAAGTGTGAGGGAAATATGATTGAGTTGGAAAAATATGATTGAATGGGAAAAATATGAATGAGTGAGGGAAATATGACTGTGTAAAGGAAATATGGATGTGTGAAGGAAATATGATTGTGTGAGGGAAATATGAATGTGTGAAGGAAACACGATTATGTCATGAAAATATGATTGTGTTAGGGAATTAAGATATTTTCTTTTGATGCCATTATACATATACAAGCTGTAATATGAGTGAAGAATAAAAAATACTTCATGTCCCCTCAGCAAATTAAGTTCCTATTCTTCTACTATACCTTACAAGCATATATGTAGTTTTGAGTTACAATCGCAAATAAGACATGAATTTATCACATTTTACAATGACACTGTGATAAATATAATGGGATGAAACATTGACAGTTTAGGTAAGTTCACTTGTTGAAGGTTAAGTTTCCAAAGGAGATAATCACCATTGCTTGGAATGCCCTTGACCTCACTCTGGGATCATGATCCTGTGTGAAACCCATAAGTAACTTCTGTATCGTCAAACTCCGTCTACCTGATTGGCTGCTGTCCTCAACTGTCTGGTCAGGTGATCCCAAATCTCCAATCAAATCCAAACAACTACATCGGGCTATGTGGCCAGTGTTTCTAAGATACTGGAAAAATTTACAGAAATATCCGTTACAAATCTTTTAGAAAATTCACATAGACTTAAGTCTTGTGTTTTTTCAATACACTTTCTGTTATATCACCCTTAAGAATTTAAGAGTACACAATATTTAGAAAAAATGGGCCGAGTTATCAGTAGTTATAATAGTTGTTAAACAATACATATTAAAAAACGAATAACATTCTATTAAGGTGTCAACCTCTGAAACCGACAATGAGGAAGATCTCTCTCATTCCATATTTCCAATAAGGGAGAATGTGCCTAAATCGCAAATGAAACTGATCTGGTCAATTTATCTTTCCCTTTATATGTATCAAAATACCTCCAAAAAGCATTCATTTGACTCAGACACACCTGTTATGATCATTACACACACCCTGCAGTAACTAGGAGATCATTTGACTCAGACACTCCTGTTATGATCATTACACACACCCTGCAGTAACTAGGAGATCATGTGACTCAGACACACCTGTTATGATCATTACACACACCCTACAGTAACTAGGAGATCATTTGATTCAGACACACCTGTTATAATCATTACCCACACCCTGCAGTAACTAGGAGATCATTTGACTCAGACACACCTGTTATGATCATTACACACACCCTGCAGTAACTAGGAGATCATTTGATTCAGACACACCTGTTATGATCATTACACACACCCTGCAGTAACTAGGAGATCATTTGATTCAGACACACCTGTTATGATCATTACACACACCCTGCAGTAACTAGGAGATCATTTGATTCAGACACACCTATTATGATCATTACACACACCCTGCAGTAACTAGAAGATCATCTGATCACAGAATGTAGATTTTGACTTTGGACTTGAGTGAGGCAGTTTCACGGAAGATTCCAAAATTTTGGTCAAAATGAGGGAGACTCCCTCCTTATGGGGGAGGGTTGACAGCTATGTATTATTTTTGTTGATATATGATGCGCTGACCTGTTTACTGGTTGAGATAAGTTGATGATGCAGAGAAGTGTTGTAGGGGGAACACATCCCAATCTTCCTCAGAACCTCCACAAGCTGGCTTATCGCCTTGTTCGACTCTGGTTATCAAACAAAAGTAATAAATATTGGATTCAGAGAAAAAAAACATGAGTGAAAGTCTTCAGGGTTAAAGTCTCAATGCCCTTGTGAAGTGTCTAGCACATATATAGCCTTTAATTTTCATAATAAACTATTCCAACCTTTGAATTGGAAGAGTTCAAATGTGTCTTCAGGGGTACCTGTGGTAAATGAGTTAATCATTAACATGTGGTTGAGGATCAAAACCTGGCTAGTTGTGAATAAAGTAAAAATTGATAAAAACAAAATAGGCTGCGATACCAGATAATGGTTTGGAATTGTTACACATAAAATTAAGGTGAAAATAGTTTTAATCTATCATGAAAAATTATAATTTATAGAAAGATTATAAAGGTAAGGACTAACTCACTGTACCAGACTTATATCTCATGATGGTAAAATCAGGTTAATTTGATCGAAAGTTAATTAGAAAATTTGTATAATATATATAATACATATTGATAGTGTTGATAAACAGTTAGTTAGACAACAGACCATTAACAGTGGTCAAAGAGAGTTACTTAGGACAAAGAATATTAACATGTGTGCAGCATTGTTAGAGAGTTAACCAGTACACAGGTGACCATTTATAGACCCAGACTAAGATAAATATTTTCGCCTATGATAAAAGGCAGATATCACTGCATGATGAATTGATAAAATTTCAAATATGTAGTAGTGTTTTCAATAAGATTCATTAGTTTGGATAATAACACTATTACAATGTTAAAGTTTTATTTTATACAAAAACATTGTACACATTAAAAATGTCAAACAATTCCAGACTGACTGGTCCCTTTGTCAAGCTATGATTGAGAGTGTCAGTCATAGCTTGACAAAGGGACCAGTTGGTCCTGAAAGGTTTTGACACGTTTAATACATACATTGTTTGTGTATTAAGTAAAACTTTGATATTGTGATAGTGTTATTATCTCCATTATTTACATCACACATAGATGAATTACTTTCTGTTTTGAGAAGTCTGATGATGTCATCAGTAAGTGCCTCTGCATTGAAGCCCGGAAGTTGTACAAGACGAGCCAGGAGGGATGAAATTTTCCACCTCAGTACAGCTTCCTTTTCACGGGGGTAGTGGTCAAGTAGCTCACGGACCACCCCAGATACATCCTCTCCACGAAGTGGGAAGTTTCCCTCAAATGCCAACAGTCTCTGAAGTGTGTCATAGGTGCTTGTGGCGCCCTCTAGGTCAAGACTGATTTCCGGGGGAGGTGGTCGTTGGATAAGCTTCAGTCGCTTGATAGGTTTGGGCTCCTCCTAAAGTTTCAACAAGAAATTTAAACTTTCAATGTAAAAATGTAATACAGTTACTACATTTTTATTAAATTATGCATGTTTGAAAATAAGGATAAAAAATTCAAACATGACCGTCCACAAAATTTTACAGCAACTTAAAACGTCAATTATTATGAAATCATTCATAAAAGACCATTTTATTCCTCAAGACTAAATATATTTATAATCTTCCATGACTCTGCTGTCTGTTTGTTATTATAACAAGAGGTCATTATTTTTTTTTCAATACCTCAGCTTGGAATCGAACACAGGACCTATGGTTTACTAGTCTTACAGTTCACGGAATGAATTAAAGAGAAATTCTCCATTGTAGAGACGGTAGGAAGCAGCTAGTACTTAAGCAGGGTGACATTATCAATGACATAAAGGTTATAGTAATTTTTGTAGGATCTTTCCAGTCAAGTCCTGAACATCACTTTTAGATATAAAGTGGGTTCCACAAGTTCTACAAGATAGTTATGGCTGCAGAACTCAAATAGCTGTATCCCAAAATCGCTGGTGAATTAATTCTAATGGATATTAAGCACTTTTATTAATTTTATAGTTATGTAACAATGTGAAAATATTGATGTTTTAATAAAGGCTGTGATAAAATGTTTTTAAATTAAATTAATTGTTGCGCTGCGTATATCGTGCTGTTCGCGTATGCATGTGCTGTGTACGATCACTGTGCCGTTTACCTGTGTTGTTGTTGTACATGTGAGTATGTTGTCACATGTCACTTGTCTTACCTTGTTACGTCCATATAAGGTAATTGTTCTAAATATAGGTGTTACCTCGTTTTCGTTAGTGGTCAGTCCAGTTGTCTTTGTTACATGTTTTGGCGCAGTTTTTAGTATTCATTCATAGACAGAGCTAAAGGGTGGATGTAATTTATATCCAGAAGTTTGAGTCTTGAAGTCTTTCTCCAGATCTGGTACGTACACATATAGATGTGACAAAGTCTTCTTCTGTAATTGGTTCATGTTAAATTATTATATTAATGAGATTTTGGATAAAGTAGCATTAATTATATTGCGAAATTGTATACGTCCTTTTTATAAAATTAGCAGAATCTTGATCTTACGTACATGTATATTCAATACATAGATAGCTCTTTTTAAAGTAATATATATGTTTTTATCAACATGATGTAAATTGTGATTTACATGTCTCTTTTACAGAGATGATAGTTTTCGAACGGATACAGATCTTCATTCGTGTAAACCCCCGACCCATAGTTGGGGTAGGTATTTTAATATTGTATGTTATAATGTAAACAAGTGCTTATTGTATTCAATATAATGATGTATGAGTAATTTGTGTAAGTAATTTCAACTATTGATTATGATGAAGTCAGTCATTGTAAAGTTATTCCTATTTTTGAATAACCTATCGCACCGAATGTACATGTAAGGAATTATATATATGTGAGCGCTGTGTTTCAATATGTAATCAATTGTATTGTGTGTTTGTAGGTGTTTTTTTTTATTATCGTTCCACATATTGTGGGAATAAACCGGTAAACAAGAAATCTGCGTCGACCTTGACTTTTCATTCAACTTTGTTTGCGTTGTTTTTAAGAGAGCGTGACAAACGGCAGCTGTGAAAAGCTGACTCCGCACTCACACAGTTGTTTATTTTTCACCAATGTAGAAAGTTATCAATAAGTTTAGTTGACATTTTTAAATATCAATTATTATATTACAGTAGCGTTTAAATTTAAAATAATAGGGCGAAACAACCAGTTACCTATTTGGAGTGAGGTTTGATAATTCAGCGGAATCCCATGCATATATTTTAAATAGTTCATGCTGGCGATATTGAAATATAATTATGGATTGTTTTATATGCAAATTTATTTGTTACTTGTGTTAAACTGCAAGTAAGACAGTTAAAAAGTCTAACATGAAAACAATACTCATGTCAAAAACATCCGTCAAAACTGGTGATGCAGCTCAACAATGACTTACAACACCGGTTCAAAATGTTTCACCTTTATGATTTGTTTATAAAATATGACATAATTACCTAGATTAACAACACAATACTAATTTCGTATCAGTGATAATGAGTTTATACATTGTTTTACCTGAATAACCTGGCTGAACTCGGCCACAGCTCGTTTCTTCAAAAGGGCAGCCATTTTGAAGAAAACTAAAATAGAACTCCAAGCTGTTTGTATATTTCCGGAAAAAGGACAAATTGTCTTCGGTACAGCTATGGTCTGCCTTTGAACCGAATTTGTTTTTGTTTCCATGATGAATATCCTCGAAAAATCTGATTGGACCTTTTTTTTGCTAAAAAACATAAAATAATTGTGAAATGCACTAATGTAACGGTTCCTGACTTGGAGTATGTATATTTTATAGTTAAAGTGTCACGGTGTTTATGTGTTNTTTGAAAGAGGGGGCGTAGAATCAAATCTGTCGCCGAGCGGAGCGATGCGAAAAAAAAAATTGGACCTTTTTTTTGCTAAAAAACATAAAATAATTGTGAAATGCACTAATGTAACGGTTCCGGACTTGGAGTATGTATATTTTATACTTAAAGTGTCAGGGTGTTTATGTGTTTATTCAATACGATATTAGCAGATTACGATATTTTTTTTATTTTTTTGAAAAGGGGGGGGGGGGGCGTACGCCCATTACGCCCTCACCTGGACCCGCCCCTGGAGGGTACAGATCGGGAGTGTGGACAGTTACACCAGTAGATGCGTCAATGGTAGTCGTAGACCAATGGTATGACGTCGACAACGGGGAGTTAACGGTGAGTTAGAAAAAGTATAAAGACAAAGAGAAAGAAAACAAATCGAACGCATTCATGGTGATACCTGACTTAAATAAAACATCCATGTTGGCTTGCTGTGGATTTACAAGATAGTTTCCGTGCCATTAAAAGCTAAAGTAATCTCTGAACCTCGCAAGGTTGTCTCGCAACATTACCATGCAGATCTGAAAATAATTGAAAGAAAGGTTTCTGAAAGGAAGATTTCTGAAATTTAGAACAAATGTTGAAATACAAGACTTGAGAATTGCGTTCTAATGCTCTCTATATATGTTTGACCTTTTGGTGTTATCTTCATTCAGGGGAATAATTTTAGATGTGTTATGGGCTTAGATCGACTTTCGGTAAAAATGACACCCCAATGATCATTCTCGTATATCGTATCCGGTTAAAACGGCCTCACTGCAGTAACGGCCCTAGTAAAAACGGCCCTAGTGAAAATAGCCACGCCCTATATATAGTATAGAACTGCAAGTACTACAAGTGCATAATACAAATACATAACTTGATATTAGTTAATAAAGTTGCATGTGCTTTCAAGAAATAAAGATATGTACATGTACAGATGAAAATATTATAATTATGTTTGATAGTTAACCATCCTCATAGTCTCAAATACCTTTGCAATGGCAGTGTTTTCTACCTCAGTTTTTTTTAATTTATTTTTTATTAAATAGCATTCAAAAAAAAGTTATAAAAATAACCAATAATAATTTAGCTATGGGATTAGGGTCTTAGTTGTTTTAACAGAGTACCTCGGAGTGACTCAATTGACTACAATTAGCGGGATTGGTCAGAGTATGTAATAAATTGGACGGATGTATAGCAAATCTTCACATATCATTTGAATTTGAATGAAACTTTCAACCATAAGACCAGCAGCGACGAAATGTTTAGTATGCGGCAGTGTTATCTATGGTGGCTTATGTATGACATTTCGTCTTTTCGCTTTGTCGCCCGTGAAATAACGCCAAGCGCAATAACGAAATAATTGTTCATATATATATATATATATATATATAAANATATTATAATTATTATGTTCATATATATACCTTCTATTCCGTTGAACTATGTTCATATATATACGTCCCGTTATACTTAGCAATTTATTTTTAATTATACATCAATGTTTATAAATATACAATGTACGTCCCACTTGTACTTAGCAATTTATTTAAATATATATCAATGTTCATATCACGTCCCGTTATACTTAGCAATTTATTTAAAATGTAAATAATAACTACACGTACATGTCATACACGTACTTACATTATTCTTAACTTTATCTGTTACAGGTTGCTAACTTCATTTAAAATCCAATCAAATTGTATAACACGATTTAATATGTAGTAATTTATGGTTGATGAATTATTTGACACAGTTGAAACTATGTTCTTATATCAGGATTTCCGTACAGATGAAGATTTACATTATAGTCGGGAGGAATGATTCTGAATTTTGTACTCTTAATTGTTGGTATTTCGGACAGAAGAGGAAGTGTTCGGTAGTTTCAGCAGACTGATTACATATACACATTTACACAGTACTCCCCGTTTGTTTTTACCGCCTCAAAAAATATAGTAATGTTTTGACATTTTTTACCACCGCCAATTACAGTATTGATCTAAACCTGTGCTTTGTAGATATTCCAGGTTGAAGGTCATCTCTGTTGAAGTTACTTTGCCGAGAGGTCTTCCGATTAAATCTAATAACTGTAATGAATAAAAATATTCTGTCGAGATAGAATATCATATTGCATTTAAAACAAAACACTCACGTTGTTTTAAACATTTTAATTCAACAAAAACAAAATCACATGTTTACAACCATAGCAAATTAAAAATAGCTTTATAACAACAGAAACAAATTTTATTGCAATTAAAATGAATCTTTATAACATTTATAATTGTTACTAACACATTTCCATTCAAACGTAGGCCCATTCCATGATGCGCGACGGAAGCTTTTTTTTAGTTCATCATGCATTATAAACTGTTTTACCAACTGGTGGAACAGCCATTTTATGCAGGAACAAGGTCGATTTTTTAGATGACTTGGCTGTTATTTGTTTATAAAGGCTTTTTTGGTTTGTATCTCGACACTACAACGGAGATGCCAAAAAGCTATTTGAATGCAAACTGAGAAAAGGTCAAACCTCATAGAAACATTTAAATATGTGTGTGTATCGTACGTGTTCAATGCATAGAATAGCCATCTCACATGTTCTTTTGAACTTAAAATTCACGTAGTTTCATTGATAATTCTATATTTTCCAGCAGGTAAAAATCTCTCAAATTAGCCCATGTTTGCATATATATAGTTGAGAAATAAAGGACGTTTTCATTTATGGAACCTGTTTAGTTTCAGAAATTTCAATTTCAATCGACCTTTGATCTTTGACCTATGAATTATTGCTCGTCCGGTTCACCTTCCTCTTCCTCCTCATACTGAGCGTCGTCCTCGTCTTCGTCGATGGTAGCATCCTGGTACTGTTGGTACTCCGATACCAAGTCGTTCATGTTGGACTCAGCCTCTGTGAACTCCAGTTCGTCCATGCCTTCGCCCGTGAACCAGTGGAGGAAGGCCTTGCGCCTGAACATCAGCGTGAACTGCTCAGACACTCGCTTGAAGATCTCCTGGATCGCAGTGGTGTTGCCAACAAACGTAGCGGCCATTTTGAGATCCTTTGGCGGGACATCGCAAACGGCGGTCTTTACGTTACAAGGAATCCATTCCACAAATCGACCCGAATTCTTATTTTGGATATTGAGCATTTGTTGCTCAACCTCCTTCATTGACATACGGCCTCTGAAAAAGGCGGCGACTGTCAGATAGCGTCCGTGGCGTGGATCACACGCCGCCATCATGTTCCTGGCGTCAAAGATCTGAGTTGTCAACTCGGGCACGGATAGGGTGCGATATTGCAAACTGCCACGTGATGTCAGAGGGGCGAAACCAGGCACGAAGAAGTGTAGGCGGGGGAACGGCACCATGTTGACCGCAAGTTTACGGAGGTCAGCGTTCAGTTGACCAGGGAATCTGAGACACGTGGTCACACCAGACATTGTAGTGGAGACGAGATGGTTCAAGTCACCGTATGTCGGTGTAGATAGTTTTAGCGTGCGGAAGCAGATATCGTAAAGAGCCTCGTTGTCGATGCAGAAGGTTTCATCTGTGTTCTCCACCAACTGGTGCGTAGACAGGACAGCATTGTAGGGTTCTACCACAACTTCCGACACCTACGAAATACAGAAGTATTAGCACACATCATGATATGGCTGTCTAAATGCACATGACAATAAGCAAAGAAGTCGGCGCTGGGCGCAAGTTTGAGAGCAAACTTAGGAACCACCGCTAGTTTTACACCTTTAATTGCCTACCAGATTCAGAGATAGCGAAGTTAGCAAAGGAGAGACATTTTGAAATACCACTATATTAGGTATTTTACAATAACTTTGAAACATGTTCTATCAATCTACATATGAAATACTCTTGTTAGTTTGGATGCGGCCAGAAACCGGAATACCGGGAGAAAACCTACATGGTCGGGCATTTCCGACCAAGGAATCGAACCCTGGCTGTCTTGGTGAAAGACGGGTGTGCTCTCTACTGCGACACCTGACCAACCATTTTGAACACATTTGTTCCGTGTGTAAAATTATTTGAATTTCGCACGTAATCATTCATTAATTTCTATTAACGAACTAACGGTCGGTCATAGAGGAGTTTGCTTGGTTAAACATTTCATAATTGTTTTGCAATCCTGAAAATTAGTCAATTTTGAAATGCAATCCGGACAAAAGTTAGCTTACGAGGCTCTGCATTAACACATTAATACTTCATCAAAGTCCAACACTACACTGTACTAATACCCATAATTGGGAACCGTCGACACTTTCAGTAAACTCTTATCTCGTTACGGAAAGAACCAACGGTTGCCGATTGGGTGGGATTGATAACAATTCAAATAATGGTATATTTGCATGTCCTGTGTAGGATGGGCTTTGCGTGCTGGTCTTTTGTGCAGAAAAAAATGTGTATCAAGAGAGGACATTTATAATTAAAGTATCATGGGTCTATTGACACTGATTGTATATGCTAACAAGATACAAGATATTTTATTACCAACCTAAGGAACAAAAGAGCGGAAAACATATACGACAACGATAACCTTGCCTTCGGTTTAGAAATTAGAATGTCACTTTTCAATCACAGGGATCAGAGAACTTGTTATAGTTGGTATGTTTGAATCTATCCTGATGTCGAAAATATTGTCATATTCGACGTTTTAGGGATGTAGCGGGTTTATGGAGCTAAGATCAACTATTGGTAAGACCCATCCACATACAGTATACATTAATTAGGGGTGGCATTTTTATCGAGAGGTCCTCTAGATCCCATAAACCCGATACAGTCCTTAAATCGTCGAACATTACTCTCTTCACATCAGGATAGATCCAAACGTCCCAAAAGTGTAACAAATTATCCAGTCCCTGTGTATTTAATGACATTTCAGGTCATGTGCTAAAGTGTACCCGTGATTGGCGCCTAATCAGGCGATGACACATCAGGGATATATTGTTAATCTAATCAACCAATTACCTACCGCTGGGGAATGAGGGCAGATAGCCTATATTACGAATGTAGCTGATGTGTGTTTTTTACCACGATAATATCACGTTCTAACATTTTCGAACAGATTCACGTGCTATCTTTTAAGGAATGTTACTGATGATTCATTACCATCATAGTACACCGGAGATAGTGATACTTAAATGGCGCGTATCAGTTCGTCCTAAATCGGTAACCGTCGGCACTTTCCGTTTACGAATTCGTCCGGAAAGTGCTTACGGTTCCCGAAAGAGTTTGGCCTCTGTCCGTATGTATGGAATGAACACGGGCATTTGACAAGGGTATACGTATTCATTCTTCGTACCATAATGACATGAATAGCAAGAAAGATACTGATGGAATTTTGTGAGTTAAGTTGTGAGCGGGACGCTCATTTGAAACCTGTTCCGCGCTTGATTCGTGTTCGCGGATTTATGAAAATTTACATTGGTTCAAATTTAGAGGAAAACTACACGCCTGGATATGTTTTAGTATTTTGTTTTTACATTTATTTAGTTTATCGATGTTCAATGGGGAGGAACTGAGGTTGGATTTTGATATGGTTACTGATTTAGGGGGACAGACTAACCTTTGGGGATGGCATGACAGAATAGGTACTCATAATCCGGTCGGGGTATTCTTCCCGGACTTTTGAAATGATAAGAGTTCCCATTCCGGATCCGGTACCACCACCCAGGGAATGAGTCAACTGGAACCCCTGGAGACAGTCACAGTTTTCGGACTCCCTCCGGATCACGTCAATAACTTCTTCCACAAGCTCTGCCCCTTCTGTGTAATGACCTTTGGCCCAAATGTTTCCTGCGCCACTCTGTCCAAACACAAAGTTGTCGGGTCGGAAAATTTTCCCGTAAGGGCCTGATCTTATCGAGTCCATGGTACCCGGCTCCAAGTCCACCAAAACTGCCCGGGGGACGTAGTGGGCCCCTTGTGCCTCATTGAAGTACACATTTATCCGTTCTAACTGAAGGTCCAAATCTCCTTTGTACATGCCGTTAGGATCTATTCCATGTTCATCTGAAATCACCTCCCAAAATTTGGAGCCAATTTGATTCCCACATTGTCCCGCTTGAATATGAATTATTTCTCGCATGATGATTTTAACTTTAAAGTGCTAGTGAAGACAAATACGTACTGTATGTTCTAAAACGTGCCTTTCTTTAGTGACGAAGCATCAGTTATCGCCTTATATATAGGGCGAGACTCGCCAGATACCTACCGGCGAGAGATAACGTGTGTGTATGTGTGTATACGTACACTAGTGTCCATTGGACATTGTACCATCTAGGTATGTGACTCAGAAATTAGAATTAAACTCAACCGATGCTGATAGTCTCATTCAGCAACGTCATAAATGTCATGGTTGTACACTATGGTCTGTTCCCATGGGTGGGCTCTTACTTATTTTAAAGAAATAATGAAAATAGGCCTAATAAATAAAAACGCAAACAAGAAGAAAAAGTTAACGATATGTTGAAGGATTGAAAAAATAGTTGAAGCACGTTCGATAACGTCCAGATACATTGATATGATAGAGATAATATTTGTTTGTTCAATGCCTCCGCTAGGGATCGAACATGGGACCTCTGGTTTATTAGTCCGACGCTCTAGCGAATGAGTAGCCCGAGTTTCCTCTGGCCCTAACACCAGACTCGGACATTTTGACAGATAGATGTCTGGTGTAGAGAGCGAAAGTGAGCGTAACCCCTGGATATCGAGGATGGTCCTAGAAAAGACCTTGGTAGAGCGACAGGGGACCAGGAGCCACCCCCTTCCCCAAACCCCAACCCGACGCAAAATTGAATAAATGAAATTTTATATCTATCTGATCTCAGAATCATTTTCCTGCGGTAAAACGCACGATATTGAGACATTCTACAATAAAATCAGTTTAATTTGATGGATTCACCTAATACGCGCCTACTAATACAGAGGAATTGATATGAGATGATTTCAGATTCTATCCCTACTCTACTAATTCTGAAAATCAAAAATGACGAAAACCAACTTTTATACAAATTAACGCTTAATTTAAATATCGAAAATTAAACATTCACATTATCATAACGCAAGCTAACCATGCTTCCAACAGACGTGGCGTCGTACACTAAAAAAAAGGTAAAAGTTTACGGGAGTCGGGTATTCTATAATAAGGCGTTATTACAGTGTAAACATTGGAGAATAAGTAAACGTGTATTTTTGTGTATTACCAGTACGGATGTAGGTGATGTGAGTAATAAATTACACCTGGTGTGTTAGGTGACGTGGCTACAGGTGAGTAAACGCTTATTTCTGTCGATTACTTAGCCATACACATGCTCAAGTTACGTCACATGCTCAAGTTACGTGCGTCGTATGATATAGAGATTGCATACTTTAAGAGATGGGGAAACTATATCGAATCTTAATAATGAATAAGACGTAGAAGTTTTCTTCAGTAACCTTATTTGCATATTGACTCGCATGTAGAACAGCATATTCCGAGTAAAAATCTATTTGATTATAAAGAAATAAATTAAACTAGCAATAGTCTGCATTTTTGTTTTGTTAGGGCACGTCTAGACCCCTCAAACTACACGTGCTGAATATCCCTGAGGTCAGCCCCGGTCTTTCAGGTTGAACCCTTTCAACTGGTTACATCAAAGTCCGGAATACATGACAATGTCGGCACAGAAATTAGTTATAAACCGCTTGTTCCGTTTCGAGTTCGACAGAACAAAGATGGCGACTTGCATGCGTCTGTTGTTGTTGTAGAAATGGATTTTGCAGATTATTGCATCATATATAATGAGTAAAGCCAAACGCAAAGTGACAGTGGATGCAGGAAAGCCTGTTCCAGATGATGGCGAGAGGCGAAAGCCGAGTGTCTTCGAAAGATTAGGGCCTGGCGGAGCAAGAAAACCGGCGTACAGCGAGGAATCGGATGTAAGGGGCTCGTATTTTTTTGCCAAAAAAGAATAACAGTTGTGTGTATTTAGAGGGGGCTCTGTCCTTCATTGGTTTGTCTTTGTTTTGTTATTTACGTCTTAAACACTTTTTGAGATGTATTTTGTCAGGAGGCGGGTCTCCTGTTCTCACTCCAGGCCTCTGCCTGTGGCCTTTCCGTTTATGCGGAACAACCGGTTTGACCGTTTTTATATGAAACAATTTCGGGTATAAATCCTGGCGGACCTTCAAATGTTTATACAGGCCTTGCAAGGCCTTTTCAATTCTTTCCTGAAAGCAGCATCATATAACTAGACGCGACCTTATATTTAACAAGTTGGGCAATACGGCGCATATGGGTAATCATCCTACATTTCGTTAACAGTTTGCAGTAACAATTTTATTACTGAGATACTTATATTTAACAAGTAGGGAATAAGGTGAAATGAGAGCACATACACTAATGATACAGTTCTTTTAAACACCTGGAGCAAAAAAGGGCGTCATTCTTTCAACTAAATCCAATATATAACACAATGAAGCACATTTGTTCACAAAAAGTTATCAATTCTGATGTCTAACATTTTGTAAAAATTACAAACCATATCACTGACTTTGCTCTCCATTGACTTCAGTGTGTAGTCAATGGGATCATCCAGTGCAAATGTGACAGGTGAGCATGATGATTTTCTGTGTGATATTTATAGCTGCTCTACAACACTATAAGCAATGGAGGTGATACTATTTGTCATTTTCACAAAGATTTGGACAACTGAATTAACATATTTTTGTGCACAATTGTACCTCATTGTATTTTCTATTGAATCATGTTGAAAGAATGAAGCCCTTTTTTGCTCCAGGTGTTTAAAAGAACTCTGTTTTTATTTCACTTTATTCCATATCTCGGTAATAAAATACTGCAAATGGGTAGTTCTGTTACCCAAATGCAGGATTATCACCCATATGCGCCGTTGTGCCCAACCTGTTTAATAAAGAAACAACTGTGGTCCGAAAAATTGTCTTTTGTTTTTTCAAATATGTAACATAAACATATCAAGTGAGTCTCATTATGGAAAATAACGATTGTATTTGGCTGATACATATTCATAAAAATGAATAATTTTAAGATAATCATCGTGATTTCTACCTGTCTGACCAACGTTTTGTTCAGGGATTTCCCTCTACTAGCGCATACCACACCAATTCTTCGTAAACAAAATGACTGGCCATGTGAAGTAAGCGAAAGAAAATTGTTGTACCACGTCGGTTACGAAGCAAAAAGTTGCCAAATGGTCAAAAGATAGTGCAAGGAGTATGTTACAGAATAATAATTGCAGGTGGGAAGTATTCAAAGGAGAAAAAAACTGCCCTAGCAGTTAGTACAGTGCATGCATGTATTCTTCCGGTTAGCCGGTTAAAAGCTGAAATGGAATTGACAGTAATGCTGTTTATGTTATGAATAAATATCTAAATATATTAACCTCGCTAGTATCTTTGTCTGAGTTTGAACACAGATGAACTTATTTTGTTATGTTATTGGGCATGCATTGGAGAGAGTTTACGTTGTGTTTCTATATACAGTAGTTTATGCGAAAGGAAGGGATAAGTGACTGGTAAGTTAAGATTTTGCTATGAGGCCCTCCAAGGGATGACTGTTGTGATGGCCACGGCGTATGCTGTTCTCTCCTCTGTCGGTACTCATGATCAGGGTCAAATGAGATACATGCGCTATTAGATTTACATAATTTATAATATTCCCGGGTTCAGTAAAACCGTATGATTTGTTTATATTGCTGAATTAAATTAAAGATTTTTTTTGTATAAATTTACATGCAAGATTTTAATTAGTACTAATATTAATACCCGGCCAAGGAGGCCATGACAGTCGTCAGAAAGCTACGTTATTGCAGCTAGATTTAAATATGTCAAAATGACGGTTCAGAATGAATAATTGAGGTAGGAAGGAGAACCTACTTATAGTAAATAGGAATGCATAACAAAATTATTTTTCAAATCGTAATGTTTCAACAGTTCATGTTTTCACATGATGTTGACTAAGAATGTATGATCATGCAACAACTTTTTCTATATAAAAAATGATTTTCGACTTCAGATATACAAATGTAATCGGAATACACATTGAAAATGGAGTAAATAATTGTTTACGTTGTAAAAATGACGAAAAAATCAAGAAAAAGAGTGACCAAAGACATTGAGTTGTACAATGTAATAACCGATCTCTTTGAAACTTCGTATACATTATAATCATGATATGAAGTTGTGTCTCCCTTAAAAGAATTTTGATTCGACAATTTTTCAAAAAGTTATTGCCCTTTGTTCATTTCAGTATTTTTATTTTTTGTCCGGAATCATCTCCTCCTACATTTTTATTAACAGATTTCTTTGAAACTTAGTAGGCTAAGTAATCATAATATGTTGTTGTGTTTCCCCGAAAAGAATTGATTCAACAATTTTTGCAAAAGTTATTGCCGTTTGTTTATTTCAGTATTTGATTTTTGTCCGGCAATCTCCTCCTACATTTTTCAACAGATCTCTTTGAAACTTGGTATACATTATAATCATGATATGAAGTTGTGTCTCCCATAACAGAATTTTGATTCGATAATTTTTGCAAAAGTTCCTGCCCTTTGTTCATTTCAGTATTTGATTTTTTTGTCCAAGAGATTTTCTCCTACATTTTTTATATAGCATGTCAGCTAACCACTCTTAGAATGATGCAGATCTTATTTCAATGTAAGAAAGTATATAACACTATGTGGCATTCGACGTGCGCATGTTGTTCCTCCTGCAGTACTCTTGTTTATACTTGTCATTGCATATAAACACTTTTGAAAACATTAGAAAAGGGATATTTGTCTCGTGAATATTCCTTTTTACAGAAAGTTTGGTCCCATGGTTGAGGGAAGGTGTTTAGCCCCGTACCATCTGTACCGTTCACATTCCGGTAATAAATAAATTCTGAATATTGACAAGTGTGCAATTAACTTCTTTTTCTGATAATGAATAATTACTGATTCAATTAGTTTCAACACAGGCTTAGAAATCATATTACTTGGTTTCATAGTGCGTAAAAGGTTGCAGTTTTTCTCTGGGGACCCCTTTGGAAACGTTTCATCGCGGTCAGACCACCTGTGTTTCCTGTCTAGTTTCAAAACTGTTTGGTGACATTATTTTTAACAGGGCTTTCCCGAACAATTCAAGTGGTCAAACTGGACATTTTGAACGGACTATGGGGATAGTGAGGTAACATAAGTGGAAGTGCATACAACACATACATTCATTACAAAAATATGGCTCTTCACATGATATCCCTTTAAACGAAAAGGGCCATTGTGAAATGCACTTCTGTTTATTTATAATTACAGTCAACAGAGTGTACCATCTTCCCTATTTTGTACATATAAAATACTCGGTACACAAAATAACTTGCCCCTTCTCAATCTCAACCAGCATTGCCTGTGCACTGAATGATAGAAATCATGTACCACTTGGACCACATTTCCTCAAAATGTCTTTATAAATATTAATAAAATTTAATATAGCGGGACTGGACATTTGTCAAATAAACCTGTCCCTTAAAACCCAAGAGTTGAAATTCATTTTGGGGAGTAAAAACATACACTCAAGGGCCCATTTAAAGCCCTGAAATATTACTTTGATTACTGTGATTGAAACAAAAAGTTAAAACTTTCAGGCTTATCAGTCTTTTTTTTATCGATCTATTGACAGAGAAGAGAGAGGTTCTACCAAAACACCCAGGAGAAATGTCGGTACTGGCTACAGAATGAGGAATGTCCTTTTGGACCAAAGTGTAAATTCGCCCACGGGTCATTCAAGAAAGGGAAATCATCTAAGTACGTAATTGCATTTCTTTTGTTAACATTATAGTGCACAATAATCAGCTATTTCAGAATTTGTTCTCATCAAATGAAGACTAATTAATTCAACAAGATACAATGAGAAATTATAACTAAAAAAAAAGAAGGAGCAATTTTTGTATCATGTACCACTTCATTATCATTTTTAACCATCTGTCTTCTATGTACACAAATCCTTCATTCAAGTTAAAATATGGATAGTTTTTTTTTTCATAAAGTACATTTTCTTAGAGTTTGTGATGCAATACCCATTTCACAACATCCAAAAGTCAGATGTCATGAATTTAAACTTGTGAATCAAATAACATGGCAAAATCAGCCAAAATACATTTCATTCTTATAATGTCTTTCTAAAGGAGAGATGATGATAGTTCTGATGAGCCAAGGTCAAGGACCAAAGGTCGTAGGGAAAGAACGAGTGATCACAGCGACGACGAGTCGGTGGAGAGGAAAAAACGCAGTAAGTCGAGAAAGGAAAAAGAGGCACGAATAAAGTCAACCATCGTCGTTAAAACATCTCGTGGAGGGGAAAGTGACTTTGAAAGTGACAGTTCAAGCTCATGGGGTCAAGAAGGTGAAGCCTTAACTGGTGGGTACTCAGTAGTGTCATGGTAACGGGTGCAGAGTTCTCCCTTGGCTGCCGAGCTGTAATTGGATACAAAGCTTTAAAGCTTTAATATTCCTTGGCTTCATCCTGAAATTTGTCATTTTCTATGGTTTGGGTTTTTTCATTTTTTGTTCTATGGACAACTTAGTAGCTAGTATGTGATAGGCATAAAATATGGAATACTCGTTATATGCCATGTGATTTGGAAAGATTATATGTTGTAGAAAGGGTCAAGTAGCACAACCAGAAAGGTGTTAATACATGATGTTTCGATGTCTAGTACGGTACATAGCCTCTGGCAATATAGAATCATTGTTGATTTGGCTGTGCTAAAAGTCTTTTTATCTATGTATGTAAGGATGAATCAAATTGACCAATTGTTTCCACTATGCCTTGTGTAACTCCTGGTCATATATAGGAAAAAGATTACCGAGGTATGTGGTTAATGGTAAAAGAAATACCTTAACCGAATAACGGGAGAGGTTTTAACCATTTTCTGTAGGTGTGACTTCTTTTATACATCACTGACATTGTTAGCCTCATGGAATGAATACGCCAAGTAAACTTTCTGACCATTGACAAGGAAACATAAATATCAGCAAAGCATCGATGCAAACCTTTGTTTACTCTGTAGAGTAAAAAATATCTTTATATAATTCTTCATAATTAAACAATTCCTATAAAAATCATGCTGTTAATTATATGTTATGAAAAGAAATATATGATTTTGTCTTGGTGACAGAGCTGAACTTGTGGTCTGGATTTTGGTTAAAAAATAACCCAGTAGCCTGTGTCTGTACACATAGACAAAATATACGTCATGTATCAGCTTGGGATAGCTGAATAATACTTTGGAGAATCTTGTGTCTCGTAGAAAAGTCAATGATCCTCGGGAGAGCCCTGTGTCCAACAGACCATGTCCAGTAATATAGCATGCATATATATATATAGTTTTTGATGGAACCCCAGTGCAGATATGTAAATTCATATTAAAAATGATGAAAGTTATCAACTGGATTGTGAGATTTTAGGCAGGGTTTGGAAATACTTTTATTCACCTGTAGCTCAACTAGGGTAAACCTCAACATCAAACATTTGTAAGTTTGAACTACAATTTATGGTATACTTGTTTATGTAGGCCTGAACAGTTGTAGAATGGGAACAAGTTAAACTGATTTTATTTCTCAGAAAGACCACACATGTTTATATAGACTTTTTCTTTGCCATTGTTGTTTATAAACTTGTGGTTCACTTTAGAAAATGATTGGAAAGACACCTGGTCGAAGGGAAATAGAAACTTCCAAAATCATATACCGCAAGTTCTGAAAACCTATAAATACTGTTGTCAGCAGTGTTGTCCTGATCAATAGTGAACAAATAGAGGGGTCAGTGTTAAATTTCTTTCTGCCTCATTCCCACCCGATTGATTAGGTCTGCTTATGGTGATAACATGATGTGATGTGATCTCAGTGTAATGTAATCATTGCAGGGATCTGATGTAGTCCTGAAACTTAAAAGCCGATGAAATGAGCTTTATCCCTGGAAAATAGCACTAATATATAAGAATCAAAATGCATCTTTTGAACATTTATGAATGTTTGCAGCACAGTTCCTTTCAAACCTATTCCATAATGTGGGATTTTTTTTTAAAATTCAGTGTTAGGCACTAACTTTTTCTACTTGGTAGTCCACATGACTCGTTGAATAGATTATTTATTTGTCCTTCGTCAATGTAACTAGTCCAAGATAAGGAAGTATCACGATCCACAGCATGAAATATCACAAGTAATCGACTGTAGGGGATTAAAATAACTGCTGCCATGAAAATAGAGTGACAATTATCATGCAATATATCTTATTTTAAGCAGTTTTCCAAATTTTAAAAAGAAATATTCTTATTTTGTAATCATATATTTCAAAAGTTAAAAAACTAGTCCTTTCTGAAATCTACTAGTCCAGGACTAGCAGACTAGTGTTAGTGTTGACCCCTTAACAAGGTTATGATTCCTAGGGTTGCAATTTCTGTCAGGTGCAATATTTAATTTAAGATGCCATTTCTGAAATTCTGTCAGTTTCAATTTATAGTATCATGATTGGTCTCAAGTAACTCTTACAGAATGATGGAAATACCTGAACAGATTCTGATTGGAAAACGTTCATATAATGTAATAGTATTAGTACTTGATGATTTGGATTTATATAACATCTTGTCTCTAGATTTATTTAAGGGCAATAAAAATATATATATTGTTATTTTAATACTGTAATACACAAATTTATAACTTCTTTGAAACACTCTCAAGTTTACAATATAAATACCCCCTAGACATGAACTAAAATTTAAATTATTAATGTCCCAGTAGACCTAAACTTAAGTTAACATTATAATAAACCTGTATGCCTGAACTAAAGTTTACGTTATAAATGCCCCAGTAGGCCAGAACTAAAGTTTACATTATAAATGCACCCAGCCGGCCCCTAGACTTTAAATTAAGTTTACATTTTAAATGCCCCTGTAGACCAGAACTAAACTTGAAAGTTTATATAATAAATGCACCCCTAGACCTGAACTAACTGAACTAAGGTTTATATAACAAATTACCCCCTAGACCTGAACTAAAGTTTATATTATAAATGCCCCCCCCACACACACACACCTAGACCTGGACTAAAGTTTACATTATAAATGCCCCCTACACCTGAACTAAAGTTAACATTATAAATGCCCTTGTAGGCTTGGACTACAAGAAAGAGCTGGAGTTAGTGAGGCAGAGACAGAAGCTGAGACAGGAACTTAGCCAGCTGGAGGATACAGACGATGTTCGTGAGAACTTGCACATTGAGAGAGAGGTAGGCCACAATGAAAAATATTAGTTGTCTGCTTGACTTCACGATCTTGGGGTATAAACATCACCGATGAAGCAGTGCTTACACATACTAGCTGGCTACAGAACAATTCTTACAGGCACTTTAAAGACACCTTTGAAGGAGTAAAGATAAGAATTATAAAGTTATCATTTTAACAAACTCTGGGACATAACATCACTTTTTCCCTTTTTATCAAGCCGTACCACTTTGGGCAAAGAATTGAGGATGAAAAAGGCAAGAAGTGCACAAATGTCAAAACATGAAATCCTCCCCACCCCCACCCCTACAATGTATATTGTTTGGTGGTGTGTCATTGAACATGATGAACAAAATAACATAGGCTAAAAATATGCATATAGTTAGTAGATTCTGTAAATATATGTATGGACCAATTTAGCACTGCTTTAGACCAGAGGGTGAACGTTTTATTAAATAATTAAGAATGCTATGGTATATTGTTACATTGGTAAACTATACAAATCAAGCCCTTATTTGATGTTGTCATCTTTATGCATAAGTGCAGCTGGTATATTTGTCCTGGCCTGTACATGTATGATATTTAAACACCCCACCTAGTGAGGGGTATATATTATAGTCATCACTTTGGTTGTGCATCCATCTTCGTATGCGTCCTTTCATATGTAGCTATAATGTACAAGATATCTTCTGAACACCCCAACACAATTGGTTCATATTTGTAGCATAGTATGGTAATATTGTGTTCATCACTGGGTTAACATAAATAACATAAATATTGATATATTGCTTCAAGGTGACCCAAATTTGTCTCAAATAGAAAATATTGAAATTTTTAATCAAGTCCAGAGGTACATTATGGCATCAGGCAGATTCTAGGTGTTGATGTGGAATCTCACCACTCTCTCAAATTTCTAAATCTCTATCTTCTATCTCTCTTAATAATTTAACTTTTTATTTCTCATTTCTTTCTTTCTTACTAATTTGATTAAAATGTGTGTTATATATGTTAAACAATTATGGTCAGTCAGAGAATATAAATGTTTGTTAAATGTTACCCGAAGGAGATGGCCTAATATAAGATTTTATATCTTGTCGCCAGATCCTTTCAATTTATGTGATTGTATTGAATTGTAAATGAATTTAAGTGATAAATATTGTTTAAACCAACACTGGGTTATATTTAATTTGATGGTCATTGGTCAGTGTGAACGGGTTATAAGGTCACGGTCAAAGATTACACTTGACTACTTTTTAAGTCAAAATACTTTTGTGGAGGATATCTCACAAACCCCTCGATCCATTTAGTTCATAGTTTCACCACACTATCTGATAAGATTTTGATGGTCATTGGTCAAGACTTAAGTGTCAAAGGTCAAGGATCACACTTGACCACTTATGTAGTAAAAAGGTTACATGTGTATACAAGATATCTCAAGAATCCCTGAAGAGATTTAGTTTATATTTACACTATAAAATAGTAGAATGGTGTTCTACCCCTCATTTCATTTTGGTGGTCATCAGTCAAGGTTAAAGGTTACAGGAATAGTGGGATGGGGAGGGTGGTGTATATCTGTCACTCACAGAGCCATCACTTACTTTGTTTTTTTCTCGTCGTCACAAAGTAGGAGAAGCGAGATTAAGGTGTTTTTCTGGCGACATCGTCAACATTTAGTTTTTGCCTTTAACTTAGTTTCACTTAAAGTATAAGTACTAGACCAACCAAACTTGGACCACAGATCTTAACCCATGCATCAAATGCTGGATGTGGCCTACCTTTCATGGTCCATTGACTTTGTCAGAATCTCCATCAACATTAAGGTTTTGCGTTTATGTTACATACATATTAATCTGAATGCTTGTACATGTATTAGAGTTGTGTTTGCTGTATTACAGATCAGCAGCAGCGACAGTGACGGAAATAACAGCCTAGACAGAGGACGGTTTCACAAGAAAATGTCAAAGTCACCCAGGTAATGATACACTAATGAAAACAAGCTATACGTCTACGAGTTAGATGGAAGTAGTATTTACTTAAAGATTTTTTATATGCCTGATAATCATTTAAAAACAAAAAACAAGCAAAACTGTATTCATAACTCACAAAAACCAGCAAATAGTACTAGTGTTAACCTTGTCCCTCTCATCTTGTCCCATTACAACTCTTTGTCATTACTCTCCTGGTTAATTTCTCAACAATTTTTTATCAAAGTTTATACAAATGTCAAGTATGAGAATAGTTAGTTAGTTCATAATTAGGGTCCCAAGGTCAATGCTTATTAACGGTACAATATTTATTTTTGATGTGAAAACATTTGATATGGGTCAAAGCACACATATAGGACATAAACATTTATAATGAACCCGTGAGTGAAACGAGTTGTGAAAATATTTACCTGGAGTGGACAGGTGATCACCTCGATCGGGCAATGTACAGTTAGCCGGATCTATTGTACATGTGTCAACGAACCCCTGTGCTTCACCGAAGTCAACGGAAAACAATAGATCGACCTTCGATTGTTGGTCATATATTTCAGTGTAGACAAAACATGTGCGGTAGTTAATTGCTATCTAAAATACACTGTAGGACTGTGTATCAAATGGAAATTATTAGGCCTACTGTACCGACATTTTCTACCTCAAATTCTGAGAAGAAATCTAGCATGCATTTCATAAATAATCATGGTTACCATGATACGTCATGTGAGAAAATCATGCCGATTTCATTGAAAATATTGCTTGAGAAGGAAGCGGTAAGTTTTTAATCATTTTAACAATAGTTTCTCTACTGCATTACAACTTTATTCCCCCCCGTGTCTCCGGATCCGTTGAAAAAGTGTCAAAAATCGGGGCATACCGTCCTGACAGCATGGTGCCGGAAATCGATCCAAAGTTAACGATATTGTCGTAAAATACTGACGACGAATGATTTATTAACAACCATTTTCGACGTGATTTATCTATCAAACATGACAGAATATTTGATTATTGTTAAAAAGTGAATATTTCGATTTTGATTGTTAATGTTTCTATACAAGTTGATTTCACGGCACTTGTAAAGCATATCTGATTGTCACGTGACCGTAATGACATAATGCGCATAATAGCGCGGCAACATATGTAGTATTAGTTTACGTACATGGGAAAAATGTTACGGAATGTTTCGTCTCAAAAAGGGTAAATCATGACTATTATATCACTTCTTTCATCCTTTTGGCTGTGCCAATACTGTATTGTTAGCTACTAGGATGCAGTATAACGATAGTTCTAAGGAATACGTTCGAAGTGAAAGTGAAAGTAGAATTTACATACTGATCATAACGACCGCAAAATGAAATTTTGTCGAACTTTTCCAACACGCCGATATAAATAACCAATCAACAATTTATTTCAATAATTACAATATCAATTTATATTAATATCTTCAAACTTTTCCACATCTACCTAGTATGTCTGAGGGTAATTTGGCATCTCACTTCCTGTTCAGACAACCTAAAATGGTCGAAATCAGCTTGATCGTTTATTATAATATCGGTTATTTTAATAATTTTCTCTGGCAAATAGAATAACATAATAAGCGGGTTCCACTGTAATAAATTTGTCACTTCAATTACATTTAATGACTTTCTGTGTTTTCCTCAACATAAGAATTGAGTAGCAAAATTTTAAATTGATGATCTGAGTTTCATTGTACAAAGGATTTGCTTCATGAAAGCATGAATACAATTGTCATATACAGAGTTAATAGTCAGCAGTGGGAAAATTTTAATTTGAATGTTTTTGTATCAGACTAAAAGTCTGAAAAAATGCTTCAGCTGTATATTGTGAAAATAAAGATCAAGCTTAAAAAGTTTCCTCGTAATAATGAAATGTTTTTTTGTTTTTTTTTAACTTTACAGCAAGAAGAAAGACAAGAAAAAACACAAGACTTCTAAATCACCAGCACATAAAGGGAAAGCACTGTCACCAAGTCCTAAGGACAAGGCCAAGAGGTTATCTATCTAATTGTACTGTACATGTACAAACTGTCATAAATCAAACTTCGGCAAAGTCCAGATTTATTTCCTTATATAATATTGATTATATATTATAAATAATACCTTTTATGCGTCAAATTTCCTGCTGTTTTGAACTGCAATCAAGGTTCGATCATTGAAAATTGTTGAAAATTACAACGATTAATTTGAAGTAAAACAACACCGCGTACCTGTACCAGAACATTGAATAGTTGTTCCTGGATCTAAACATACAAACTAACATATGTATAAAATCATAAAAAAAATAAAATTCTAATTAAAATAAATCCAATATTTATATTTTTCAAATTTAATATCTTGCCTTGTGTTTCGTCACTTAACAATTACAGTCAGTCTTGCTCATACAAATATTTGAGACTCAAAAAACATTTTTTTTATTTGAAACCCCATCAAGACCTGTCTGTTCATAGATGTACAATTGAGACTCCTTCAAAACTGCATGTATATTTTCCTGCAGTCATTGTTACAAGAGCATTGTATAGAATTGTCTAAAAACATAAACCGGAAAAAATCTGATAACCAATTAACTGATAATTATATGGTATTTAAAATCGTAGACCAATATCCTGAAAGAGGATTATTTAAGCATTTATTACTTTTTTTTCACTAACTTATAATTGAAGATATAAACAAATGCTTAACAGTTTTCTTTTTTACTTGTGCAGGTATGAAGAACCTGAAAAAGATATTCCAAGAAAAAAACACAAGAAAAAGAAAATGTCAATCGAAAAAAGATATGCTGATTATTCTGATGAGGAACCCCCCGAAGTGGACACTGGAAAAGCTAAAAAAGTGAAATCAGCTAAGGGTTCAAAGGCCAAACATACAGAGCAGAGGCCCAAACTTAGCTTCCAGTCGGACGAGGACTTTGATGAGGAGTTTGTCATCAAAAAGAATAGACAAAAGTCTTGGTCAAAGTCAGTATCAAGGTCACCTTCAAGATCACCCTCAAGGTCACCCACACCAGTAGCTGGCTATGACCGTGGTCGGTCAAAGAGAACACCATCAGATTTTGATCGATATGAAACAAATAGAACTCCTTCACCAGAGATGAAAAAGCCAAAGAAATCTGGTCGAGACCAAGCAGACTATGAAGTCTGGGAAAGAGACAGAGAAAGGGACACTAGTCGGGAAAAACCCCGCCACAAACTTGTACAAGAACGTGATGAACTGTCTTCACCCGAACCTCGGAAAGAGAAAAGGGTTCGGTCTCCATCTATAGACAAAAGAGATCAAGAGGAAAAACACAGCAAGAAGAAAAACAGAAAGGAACAGAAACATAGTAAACATAAACAGGAGGCTGAGAGTCGTAGTGGTTATTATTCTGATGGTTCCCCCTTCAGTCAAGAGAGGGCAGCACCCTCTCCTGAGCGTGCCCGTAAAGGCAAGAAACACAAGGGAGATCAGTCCAAGGACCGAGGGAGTGTAGGGCGTGAAAAAGACAGTAGGCGTGAAATGTATGAGGATCCAGATAAAACGGAGTCTCCTAGGGATTATAGAGAACAGCGTGGTAAAGGATATAAAGACCGTGTGCAAATAGTCAGCCCAGCACCTTCCGCACGAGACAGGGAAAGACAAGGGAGGTCACTCTCTATCGAACCACCATTAAAGGAGACAAGAAGAGAATACTCTCCAGAGTCACAAAGGTCCGGTTCTCAGTACCAAAGGAGTCGCAGGAACATGTCTCCGCCTCCGGTAGATAGGCGCCGTGACGAGGAACGTTATGAAAAGGAAAAGGACATAGATCGCTCAAGAGAAGGACGGGGCAGAGAGAAGGATGATCCCCGCCGTGATCCTAGGGCAATGTCCCCGGACGACCGCAGATACGGGAGGGGTCCACCACCAGGAAGACCAGAATTTGATCCTCGTCAGCAAGGCAGAATGAGGTTTGAGATATTAATCAATATTTAAAGTAAATGCTTAATGCCTTCTATTGCATATAAAATGCAAATGTTAAATATATAATTTACTTTTGTAGTAAAACCCTGACTTCTGTAAATCTTGTAGACTAGCATTCCCAGAATATACACAATACCGGTTAGGACTATTCTAACAAGCAAGATGGTGTACCATTCTAATTATAAGGTTTTGATACATTAGCAAAATTTGTTCAGATTTCAGTTATTTCCAGATCATCATAATATCATGCAGACAGAAGCAAACATATAGACACATTGTTTTAATAAAAATAATTGTTTGGAAATATGTGATTTTTCTTAGAACAGAAGTAGCATTGAGCTTGCTATAACAATTGTTTCTATTTCAGTTATTTATTTCAAAGAGCTACAACAAATTTACTTAATTTGTGGTGTATGATGCATAGTATTAATCAATCCTATTAATCTCTTTTAACCAGATATGATGAGAGAAGGGAGCGTTACGATGAGGAAAGGTACCCTCCCCCACCCCCAATTCCCCCTCCTGGGGATGACAGAGGCCACTTTGGACCAGTCAGGGCACCCTTTGAGTCCCCTAGGGGTCGTCCAGAAAGCTATGACAGAGATCGTGAACGAGATCGGTATGGCCGAGAATATGGACAACCGCCAGACGCAAGATTTGGACCTGGTATGATTAGAAACATTCTAGATGATTACAAAATTCTTCTTTTCTAGTTGTGCAGTCATTGTTGATGTTGAACAGAACAGTTCAAGCATATTTAAACAATAGTATAGTTTTAGTTCAGCTATGTAAGAAACTTTTTAATTAAAAAATACTACTGAAAATGTTGTAATTGACTAAATGCCAAACAGCATTAAGTGAATCAACAGAAATATAGATGGAGACTTGATCAGTGAGTGGTTGGCTGCGTGTGTTGTAAAATTCAAGAAGATTTTGTTTTGCCGTCGTAATGATCAGTATAGAAATTCTACTTTATTATGAGCATATTCCTTAGAACTTTGGATCAATAATGGCACCATGCTGTCAGGGCCGTTTGTCCTGATTTTGACACTTTTTCAACAGAGACACGTGGAAATCAACTTCTAATGCAGTAGAGAAATTATTGCTGAAGTGATTTAAAACACATGTCTTTCTTCTGAAGTAATACTTTCATTGAAATTGGCATGATTTTCCCGCATGAAGTGTCAAGGAAACTGAATATTTGTAAAAGGCATTACGGGGGGACCATATAGGTTTTGTCTCCGTCCGTCCGTCCATCCGTCCATCCGTCCGTCCGTTACCTTTGGTTAAGGTTTTGGTCAAAGTTTTGTAATGGGTTACCATGCACTTCATAATGATGTTAGGAATTTGATTAATTGCATAAAGATTTGATAGGGGTCTAGCATTAATACTGTGGATTGAAAATGGATATATCTTTTCAATTTTTGACATGTTTTCCACTTAACTATCTTGGCCAAAATCTGCAGGTTAAAGTTTGGGTTAAAGTTTTGTAATGGCTCACCGTTTACTTAATGATAGTGTTAGGATGCTGATTTTATGTACAGAGAATCTTTAGGCATCTAGAATAAATGTTATTTAATGACAGTGGAAAAATAAGTTTATTTATTTTGAATTTTTGACATGTTTTCAACTTAACTATCTTGGCCAAAATCGATATCTGAAGGTTAAAGTTTGGGGGGCTGGTAGGGGACATGCATTGATTCATCAATACCCACAGAATGCTTGTTTAGATAGCAATTAACTGTACCACCTGTTTTGTTAAGACTAAAATGCATATGTATGACCAGCAAGCTAAGCAATGGTCCATCTATTGTTTTCCGCTGACTGGGGTGAAGTGAGGTGTGAACAATTTACCTGGAGTGGACATGTGATCACCTCGGGCGATGTACAGTTAGCTGGACCTTTTGTTTAACTGTCCAGGTGTTTCACACGGACAACCTACCTGAGTTTTTACCTTATAAAATCCATTCACGGCAGAAAAAATATCAGAATAAGCGGGGTCCCACCTTTGACCATATCATAATAAACTTCTTTTTTATTCATGGGAAAAATATCATAATAACCGAAATCATAAAAAGTGGGTTCCACTGTAGTTTGTTTTATTTTTATGTAATTTTATTTTATTTAGCAAACTATAAGTTAACTGTTGTTTGACAGTAAGTATAAGTAGAATCAATCACTTAGATTTTTTATTTTAAAGATCTGCTAATGCACGTTGAAGAATGCATGTCCTGTAAACAAAGAGGATCAGAGAAAACAGACATCTATATTAAATATCCTTGGCATCAAAGTGATAATGTTTTAATAATGTATCTTTTCCTCCAGGACCAAGGGGCCAGTATGAAAGGGGACATCCTGATTATCGCGACCCAAGAGATCCCAGAGATCCGCGGGAACCACGAGACCCTCGCGACACTTCAGGACATCGTGACCCCCGTGATCTTCGCGAACCTAGGGATCCACTTGACCCCCGAGATATGCGAGGTGACATGCGACATCCGAGGGTGGATCCTCGCGATCCCCGTGATCCAAGAGAAATGAGAGGTGACCCTAGAGATATGAGGGACCCAAGAGACGGTAGCTGGGAGAGGTCACGAGGTCGAGGAACATGGACCTCGCCCCACGGTCCCCCTGGACCTGGGGGGAGGGGAGCAAGAGGAGGCCCCCCACCTCCTCCACAAAACTATGGTAAGATTAAAAATATGATAAATGTATAAAACCTCTTATTGTGATATACATAAAATATTAAAATGCTATAGAATCTGTATACCTGTAGTATGTATCACTGAAAATCCTGTAAGACAATTTCATAACTAGAACAGCACAATTATGATATAAAACTTAAATTATAAATGCCCCTGTAGGCCTGAGATATCACTCGCCATATTTGAAGCAATGAGTAGAATGAATTCAGAAACAGCAAAATCATGAAAATATCGCAGGTGTATTGTAGCCTCCCAGAAAATATTGTGTATCATACAGTATTTAAAAATATCGCAATATATCGTCGTATGATAGACATGATACTGATTGTTTTCTTTTCATTTTTCAGGTGGTGGTAGAGGAAGAGGCAGTTTCGGTCCAAATGATCGTTACGGAAATGGCAGAGGTGCATATTAAAGGAATGCAATGAAACTCTTTAGTTCACACATCATTAAATCATAGAAATAGAAATTTCCAAATTTATATTTAAGTTAATATTATATATATGATTAATATATATTTCTAGCCTATCAGCCCAGACTAATAAAACTTTCTCGGTATGTTGCTTATTGTTAACGCTAGGGCTAGACTAACCCAGCCAAGTATCAACTTTATGCTGTACCCAACTTCGTGTTGTCAAATGCTCCATGTGTTGAGGTGATCCTGGTCCAAATGAACAGAAATTGTCATTATGTCTGTGATTGTCATTTCCTGTTCTGATAACTAATCCAGTCTCACAGTTTTCACTAATTTGAGTGTATACTTATCACACTTTTGCTAACACTTGTCATAGGAGGTCGATACGACCCTAGCCAGGAGCGTCAGAGCCGACGAGGTGAATGGGAAAACCAGCGACGTGAAGACTTTTTCCCCGGGGGTGAGCGTCGGGACTGGGGCGAAAGGCGAGGGGAGGAGAGGCGTGGTGACTTATCTCGCGAGGATGACAGACGAGGGGAGGAGAGACCGGATGACAGAGGATTTAGGTAAGGATGAATTCTAACTGCATTTGAGTTCTAAAAAAACAACATTTTCAGGATAACCAAGGTCCTTTTCATTAATGCAATTCAGTTACTTCAATGTAACGTTTTCAGACCAAGCAGACAAAGCCTCTCGGGGTTACTTCATAAAAACAAACCTTAAAATGTCTTTTCCATGGTTCCCAGAAAACAGCATGAAATTACTTGGGTGTTTGAACTGCTGAACTGGGAAACAAGAAACAGGATTTTTTTAATTATTGAGTTAGCAGTTGTCACTTACTTTAGGTCCTTGATATAAATTTCTGGATATGTCCATATAAGCAATTTATCTTTAGTTAATACCTATATTTCCCTTTATGATAAATAGAAAAACATCTTACTTTAGAATATTTCTCAGTAAAACAGAATAATTGAAATCATAACTGATCATTAATATGATGCAAAATGTATACCAAAATCTGTGATAAACCTGATTTAGCTTATGTATGCATTTGTCTTTGAAATACAGGTAGATGATTTGAAATTAGATGTAGAAAATTATTAAATATCATTAATGATTAATTTTGTTTCCTTTGAGCAGGATGGACAGAAGGGACGATCGTAGAGACAAAGATGGCATTCGAGACAGACCAGATGACAGAGATAGCTCACGTGGGGGTCGCTATGGTGATGATCGTAGGGGACGTGATGAAAGTACGGAAAAGCGTGAATTTGAGCGACGTGACCGTGACACTATAACAGACTCACGACAGCGTGACAGAAAGGATCAGTCTCAGGAAAGAGACAGGCAGGAGAGGGGAGATGGAGAGATAGTGGATAAACCTGGGAGACAAGAAGAAAGTGAGAAAGAACGTGACAGAGTAGACAATAGAAAATCTGATAGAGAGAAGGACAAAGAGAAACCTGGTGAAAGTTTAAATGTGAGTTCAGATGATAAGGCTAGGGAAACAGCTGAAGGAAAGGACAGAACCACTGAAAAACAAACGTCTGTGGATAGGACTGAGAAACTGGACAGTGGTCCTGAGGAAAAGAGAAAGAACAAAAAGAAGAAGAACAAGGAGAAAGACAAACCAAAGAGTCCTTCAAAGTCAAAGAAAGATGGAAAGAGCAGTGGAAAGAAAGAGGACACAAAGGGTGGGGATAAACAAGGGCAGGAAGGAGACAAAGACAAATTTATTGAGGAAAAGGAAGAAAATGTTGACACAAGGAAATCTGAGCAGGACGTTTCAGTAGGAAAAACTACAGAAAAGACTGATGAAGGAAAAGATATTGTGGACTCCAAAGATATCCCAGAATCTAAAGATCTAAAAGATTCTAAAGACTCTCGAAAGCGTGGTCTTGAAGATGAAGAGAAGTCTGTATCCCCAGCACCCTCCAGCAAACGAGTACGTGACACATCTCCAGCCAACTCACAGCGCAGTCGCGGCAGTGCTGGAGACCAAGATAGAGAAAGGTCACGAGGCCGTAAGCGTGACGATAGGGAATCTAGGCGTCATGACAGGTCGAGACCACATAGCAAGGAATCAGACAGAGATGGACGCCGTGATAGGTCACCAGGCTCAACTACAAGTCGAAGAGATCGACGTCGGGAAAGAAGTGTGAGTATAAACATGTCATTAGGTGCTGAGGATTATAAAATGGTTTTGTCATGCAGTGGCTGGGAATTTCCTAATATTACTTCCATATTGATTTAATGATATTTTTGTAGTAGTTTGTTGTGATGAAGGCTCTACAGTTTGTCAGAGGAATTACCTTGACCCACTTTCATGTTCACAGGTCACATATGTCTTTTGTAAATTCAAAAGGCTTATACAGAACTTTGGAAGCCTAGAACTATGATATTTGGGTGGTCAGGGTTCTCCCCAGGCCATTTAGCTGTTATGGCTCCGTATCAGCTTCAATTTGAAATCCTTCCTGCCGTATCAGCTTAATTGACCCGTATCACCTTGTTATTTGTACTGAAGGTGGTCTATTTACACAAGAAATTGACACTGATTAAATCACAAGGCTGACCCACGTCCAGTAATGACCCCACTGGTATGTTGCTGTAATGGAGTATTCATTAGATCAAATGAATGACTGTGACCAATTCTCAAGACAATGTGTTTCAACTACTGTGTTTAAAATCAAATTAACTCATTTACCCCTGACATTTCATAATGAACTATTCCAACCTTTGAATTGGAAGAGTTCAGATGTGTCTTCAGGGGTGAATGAGTTAAGTGCACCAGTCGAGTTAATGCAAAATACTCTTTTGACCTTGTATTTTCTTGTATCCCTTTTAGTACTTCTGCTATAATTAAAACCGTTTGTCCCACTATAATTATTAAATCTATCAAATGATCCTCTGTAATAATAAAACTGTCACTTCCACATGAAAATTGTCCTGTGTATATATATAGGCACAGAGTTTGTTCATGTTTTGTTGCAATCGCTGATTGTCTGAAACTATGGGAAGTTCTTTGATGAACCTCCAAACTTGATTGTGGACTATTTTCAGGATATTATTTTGTATAGGTATAGTTTGCCAGAATTGGTAAATGTTTTGCAAGAAAAAAATCTACAAGTTTGAAATTTCACATATGATACTATGATTTATAACATTTTCATCAGGTTGTGTAAGAAATACTTGTTTTTTGCAAAGTTTGCAAGAATTTGCTAGGATTAACGATTTTGAATATATTTTCCATACCGTAATGTAAGTTCAAACAAAAAATATTTAGTGTTTCCGGTAACCCTACCTACCCTAATTTTTGTTGTGCCTACCTTACTTTTTAAGGCAATTTTCTAAGGAAGCACTAATACTGTTAAAATCAAAGTCACTCTCATATATAAACCATATAAAATTGGGTGTCAAAATGAAATTTGTTACCTACCTACCTACCCTAATTTTTTCCAACATGTTACAGGAAACACATATTTTTTGTCTGGCCTAAATTAAAAATAAATTACCCTCAATGTTGGAGTGATACTTTATATACTTACAGCAGGAAGCCAGAGATTACGATAGCAAAAGTTATAGAAAAAGGTCAAGGTCACCAGATCGTCGATCAGGTGACTTCAAGGACAATGAAGAAGAAAGGAAGAAGAGAAAAATTACTGAGCTGGATAAAGAAGCAGGTTTGTTATTTGGGATGAGAGGAGGATGTATTGAGTAAAATCAACCAGAGATGATCGAAACTAATTGATATGAGAAACAAGACATTAAATAGGATATACTTTTGTTTGATAACTTCTAGGATTGTATGTTTTGAGTAGGATAATGGGGTGCAAAGTATCTAAATTTCAACATTTGGCAAAATAACAAAATATATATGATTCACCAGTGTTGGACATAAACCAATATTTTTTTCTTTTAAATTTCGTCAAACTAGTTTGTGTGCTCAATGTTGGGGGGAAAATGGTTTGTAGATTTGAAATTCATAACAATGTGTAGTGAGCTAGATATTTAAAGATGAATAGATATTGTATGATATCCTTTGGCTACAAAATATTATTTCCAAGATTCCAAAAATGCAGAAGCTAAAAGTGACGACACAGGAGGAGCTGACGTAGCAGGTGACAAACTAATGGTTAAACCAGAACTCAAGCCACCCGCTAATGGTAAGGCCAAACAAAAAATAGATATGTTTCAGGTACCCCGACCTACACTAGTTTTTACCTTCGACGCTAACATTTTTATCTTTCTCAAATGCACTCCACTCAATCCAGTGCTGGTTTATTTTGTCCACCAGATGCCAAACAATTGATGGACAAACAAACAAGGAAACTATATATACATATACCCTCTCTTCATAGTTACTTTATAGACAGGTATCAAAACCAAATTTAAATCCCATATTTATTATTTAAAAGACCTAAGATTTTTTGTTATTTCTTAAATTAGTGTCCATCAAAAGGGGAAAAAATGATAGAAATAAATCCCAACTGACCTACCCTGTTTTTTTTAAGTCATGTTACCTGAAACATACATATTTTTGTAGGGCCTAAATGAAAACTAATGTTTGAATTAAAACTCAAACTAACAGCTTTAATATTGTAAATGACGAATTGACGATTAAACCAGAACGCAAATCAGCGTTAAGGTAAATGAAAAACTAATGTTTAAATCTAAACTGAAACCAAGAACTAATGATAAATGGCAAATGGATGGTTAAACCCACACCTCAAGGCAGAATCTTTATATGTTAAATGAAAAACTAATGTTTAAATCTAAACTGAAACCAAGAACTAATGATAAATGGCAAATGGATGGTTAAACCCACACCTCAAGGCAGAATCTTTATATGTTAAATGAAAAACTAATGTTTAAATCTAAACTGAAACCAAGAGCTAATGATAAATGGCAAATGGATGGTTAAACCCACACCTCAAGGCAGAATCTTTATATGTTAAATGAAAAGCTAATTGTTAAACCTAAACTCCTACTAAAAGCTTGTGATAGGTGATTGATTCAGGGGGGTGACATTGGTCAAATAGAACACTAATTCTGTCCACCTGCAACTGAAAATCCAAATGACAAACAATTAACGAAGACCAGTGGTTACCTTCTACCAGTAAACTATGTCATTTAATTATCAAACTAGAGCACAAGTCAGCTTTTGATTGCAAATGGCAAATCAATTGTCAAACCAAACCTGAACCAATCGACATGTGTTGGTAAATGACAACCTTAACCCTTTCATCCCTATGTAACTTTAGTAGACTCTACCATGCATTGATATAGATGAGTCCATTATGGTCTACAAGAGTGAAAGAGTTAATCACCTACTAGTGGTACATCGGTACTGTGTTGTTTTAAAGTCCACTACGAACATTTGAGATCAATTCCTAGTCAAATTTCAAATTTTATTTCTGAAGCCTTGCAGTTAAAGGTATATAGAACTTTGAAATAATATTGTGTTTCTTTCATCTATAAATTTGGTATACAAATATAGCATTATTCAAGCATTCAATAATGAATTCTTTTAGCTTCTCAAAGAAATAACAGATATAGCATTTCATGAATTTCATCAGGCTTTTTAAAATTTGCTCATATTTGAAATCAACAAAAAGGATTTAAGATAGTGAGTTTATCTCATTGCATACAATATCCTGAATTTGAAAAAAAATACATTTAAAGGAATTCTGGAAAAAAAATGAGATTTGCATGCAATCATTTTCAATAGTTTTTTTTTTAGGTCACCTGAGCTTTGCTCAAGTGACCTATTCCGATCACTTTCCGTCCGTCGTCGTGCGTAAACTTTTTACGTTTTCAACTTTTTCTCAAGAACCAGTTGATGGAATTTTTTCAAACTTGGTCAGAATCATCCTTGGTAGATGAGGCTACAAAATTGCAAAATTGGGATTCCTACCCCAAAGGGAAAATTAACCAATGTTTCAAAAATCTTCTTCTTCAGACTCCGAGGTACTACAGTCATTTTCTCTGCGTGGATGGAAAGATCATCAGGGGCTTTATTTAAATTGTAAATTTCAGGANATTTTCAGCAGAAAATTGCTCAAACTTAGTCAGAATCATCTTTCGTGGATGAGAGTATTACATTGTTAAATTGGAATTCCTGCCCCTTCCCTAGGGACTAGGGCGGGGCCCCAAAGGGAACATTTACCAATATTTCAAAATTCTTAACCTTTGATGACATGACAAGTATTGTATTTCACTTAGTTTACATGCTGATTTCCACATCACATCTAAACAATAAAATAAAGCTACCAGTACCTATGATATAACTCAGGTGACCGCTAAGGCCCTTGGGCCTGTTGTTATAAATAGTCAGAATAGTTGATTGATCACTATGTATTTCTCATTATATTGATGTGGATATAGAGGTAACAATTCTTCAGATATCCTATTAAATCTTTGTAAAGGATGTAAAAAATTTGACAGATATTCCCATAAACTGTATGCATGGCTTTTTTTCACAGTTGGGGCGGTGGAAGGCCGGTCAAGAGGTGTGCGAGGAGATGACCACAGATTCAGTGACTGGACTGATGACTCTGGAGATGATCTCCTCAACCAGAAATCACAGACAGGGGATGGAGAGAAAGCCCCACCCCCAGGACTATCATCAGAGGTATTACAACTGTTTGTAAATAGTCTCAAATGGTGGTTTGATTTGATGCCCGCCAAGAAGTGGTGTGACACAAAGTGTTTGTCTTGTCCTTGTGTGCACATACCTACCTACATCTGGCAAGTTTTTGCATTAAGATCAGATATGAACAACGTTCTGTAGCTGAGTCACATTCACATGCTTATTAGCCTTGACACACATGAGGTGAACATGTTGCACAACACTTTTGTAACCTTGACCTCTATGACCTTGCTTGATGTTTTTAATGTGGGAGTAGGGCATCTGTCTTGCAGACAAATTTCTAGTTCTAGTTCTTGAAAAAATCATCCTATTAACTTGATACACAAAAATACCATGGAAATTAGACAGAAATAAACTACCCAGTCACACTAAAATATTTTTTGTTGCTTATGTGTAATTTAGTTCACGTAATTAATCTGTCAAATATAAAAAATCAGGTGTTCAAAAAATAAGTACATAAAACTTTATTCTGTATTATTTCCTGTAGGTTTGCTCAGCAATTCCAGACCATGTGCGTAATGAAGGTCGTATCCGTAGTAACAGTCGCAGCAGCCATAACAGTAAACAGAGTCAAGGAGGTCGTAGACGGTCGTCACAGGACCTGGACAACTCTAGCCCTGATCTCGACAGCCGTTCAGCAAGGGATCATAGTCCAACTAGGAAGTCGGGCGATCGTAGTCCAAGGCAACATTCACGTGACCGCAGTCCACGGAGAAGGTCACGTGACAGAAGTCCACGGCGAAGATCAAGAGATCGCAGTCCAAGGACAAGGTCACGTGATCGCAACTCAAGTCACAAGTCAGGAGACTGTAGCCCAAGTGCAAGGTCACGTGAAGGTCAGAGTCCAAGTAGGACATCAGAACAGCATGTAAATCAGGAAAGAAGGTATGCTGACAGTTATTATAGGAGGGGAAAATATCTTTTTTAAGCCGCTCCTGGCGAGAGCCGGGCGGCTTATTAATTCTGTCCAGAGAACGAAATGACGGACCCACTTCCGTTTCGGGGTGCGTGCCCATAATTCAGTCGTGCATGCTTCCGCTATATAGTTTCGTTATCGTAAATAGAAAGTAGAATCTCTGACACTAACCTGTGGGTTACATAAAGTCTTTGGATACTCTTCTCCAAATAATAATCCATAGTTTAAATAATTGCTGAAAACAAAATGTTCATCTCCGGTGCATTCTACGAGTGTTGTGGTGGTGAAATTCGTGCACTAGGTTTGAGCTTTTTAGCAACTCGGATTGCGGTCTGAGGAGTGTTACGCGTGTGAAACACATATGATACGAGAAAGCACATGTGAAGACTTTCAAGCATTGACGCTTTCTGTAGAAGGAAGAAGTAAATGTATATACCTATAAACCGTATGAGTGATGAAGTATAACCTCTATTTTGATGTTTGAAACGGGAACGTAATATGACATATCGTGCTTAGGATGATAACGGTAATGGCTCTGAGACAAGACGATATGTGAACTGTGTATGTTTATCAAACATTTCTGTAACACAGCATGCTATTTCTTGTGTATTGATTTATGAAAGTGCAACAATTTAAGAACATGACACAACAGCCGCGCCGTGTCCAAGAACATTTGTGAAATTTTGTATATTCAATGACGGTAAATATAGTTGCTACATATATTAATAATTATATATTGATATGAATAAAAAATAAATAAAAATGAAATAGTACAATGTCTCTTTTCTCCATGTTTTCCCACTACTGTTAATTAACCTTCATTTCACAATCACAAAATGCACCTATTGTAATCTATTCACCGATTGCCATTCTGCACGTAAATGCTCATGTCACATCATTGGAGGATGCTATTTAATGAAAATTACAACAATGCATCACACTTAAAGAGGGTGAAAAAAAGAGGGGAGGGAGAAATGTTTTTAAGACATCATTTAAGAGGCGATTGATTTTGAAAATCCCAAAGGCAACATCATCACATGACCTGATTTTCAATTAGCAGAATAAAAACACATGTCTGAGATATTATAGTAGATATTGATGCTCAATGTGTTACTGAAGCAACTAAATTTAAAGTGGTGAGCGGCTGTAATGTCACACTGACATAATTCTAGTTTTTTATTTATTTTTTATTCAGTATCTCTTAAAGTGATCAGTGCAAGTACAATATCATCCATTTGAGGGGTGAATATTTGTAGCTTTTAGGGGTTATTTGTTATTTAAATCTATTCAAATGAAAAGCATTAGCCTATCACATTAAAGAAGTCATACTTGAAGTGTTTGAATGGATGAATTGAGATGCTGAATTGTGTGACTACTTGTCATATGACAGGGAGGAACTACAAGAAGGCCCAACAAAGCCACACTTAGATGAGGAGAAGGAATCTAGCCAGACACAGGAGTTGTTGAATTTGCCTAAAGACAAGGACCTCCAATCTGCAGGTTTGTAGAGTTCCTAGAGAAACAGTGATCAGGTAAAATCTAACAGGGGCAGATAAAGACAGCTCATTATAGCGTGACCATCAAATTATTAACATGTAAGATAGGAAAAAAATGTGTAGGAAATCAGTTCTTGGGGATTAGGGGGGGGGGGGGGATTTTACGTAGTCAATTTGCATTGTTGAGGGATCAAAAGAATTTGGAATGTATAAACCTTAGCAAGTTATATTTACATTTTCTGTGTTTGGGCATTGTGCATGTGACAGATTGTAGTTCTGTGTATGCTGTTGTTGTGCTCACAACCCTATATATATCATTGCAGGTGAGGAAGAGGATGACAGGATGTCATATGATGAGATCTCCAGCGAAGAAGAGAGCATCATTGGTGAAGAGGAGAAGCAGGACCCTTCCCCTGGTAATGTGCATGGTTAAGATTATCTACAATAACTTTGATCAAACAATTAGTAATGGACTCTTTGAACAAGAGACACTATCAAGAATATATCATTCAAGAACAATTTAAGATGAACTACTGAAATTCAGAAATGTGGAAATTCAGTTTTAACTTCAGTCAGACTTCAAAGTAGCCTCCCGCAGAGAGTTATAAGTGAAAAGTGAAAGGCATTCTTGCATGGATGTCTGCAGTTGCAAACTGGACTTATTAAACAAAATTCACTCTATAAAGGTCATATTTAAAGAACCTACACTTGGGCCTCAGTTTTGTATTTATACTATTCAACTTTCATTCTCAAAACAAAAGTAGATAGGTGGGGATTGTTGTACATTTAATGGAAGAGAGTTTTTAAATAAATCTATGGGAGGGAAAAATCATGCTAATAGATCTAAAATTACTTTTTATTACTCAATTATGTATACATATAATCAAAGAAGGAAATGGTCCTTGCTAAACAGAAATCCATCTGCCAACAAACTGCTGAGACACTGAAATCTGAATAACAATGCCAAATTACAAAAACTTCAGGGCTACTGTGTTAATGAGACTTACTGTTTGTTATTTTCACACTAAACTCTGCGCTCTGATTGGTCAGTTTAGAGTGAAAATATTATTATTTTTTTATCACTAACAGAGCAAAAATGTCAACTTTATTTTCATCGTAAAATTTATATTTCATCGGTAAAAATCTTATGAAATATGTTCCGTTTGTACAGCTCCCCAAGGTATGGTGGACGTCCTACAGATTGATTTTTCCAGCTTCAAGAGCGACCCTCTACTCAAACCAGGATCGGGCTCTGCTCTTAACAAGTACAAGCCAGCAGCCATCTTGTCCAAATTGGGTGTATCAAGGGCTTTTGCTGGTGACAAATTATTCAAAAAGGTCCAGTCTTTCTGTCAAGACAAAGGTGAGTACTTGTTCTCTGTATGTGATAAGTACAGCATTTCTTCATTAGAGTTTGAATGTAATCTGCTCGGACCAAAGAGCTTGTCATTTCCCTGCTGTTACATTTCATGTGATGCATTTGAAATGACCAGCCATTGCATATGGTTAAACTATTAAATATACTGGTAAATTCTAGTTTCTTAAAGTCTATGTTAGAACATTGATGTAGAAGGATTTTTCTGTTTATTTTGTCATTGGAGGAGGAATGATGTAGTGAAGATTATTCTATTTATTTAGCAAAAGAGGAGAAAAAGGAAGCTGAAGAGGGCAAAGAAGGGGAGACCACTCCAGAGTTTCAGTGGCACAGTGATGTGGCAATGTTACACTCCAATGAGGTGGCTCGTCAGAAGGAGAGAGCCACACTTATCCCCAGCATTGGACCAAACCGCCGCGGACTGTGTGCTCGCCGCGACCTGGACATCAGACGGCAGCTTTGTAAACTATACAAGGTACTGATGACACTTCTCAGGCCAAGAGAGTTAAATAGCCTTTCTCTTGCATTAGACGAGTGTAAAGTACCATCGCAGACATTGTTTTACTTAACGAATATAATTTTGATGGGCCAGAACTCTAAAAACTGACAAAAGATAGAATATGTAGTTTACAGCCCTTTGCACGGACTTGTACATTTTCACAACCTTGATTCGAGACTTAAGATCATGGTAGGTAAAATATTTGGCATTGAACGGCTGTTTCTGGATTTACATTTTAACACTTGGTGTTTTGGTGAAATTTGTTGAAGATCATAGATGTGCTTCTCAGATGAGTGCCAATCTTACCACGTGATTGGATCAATTTTTCTGGCTGTTGACTATTTGGTTTTCTTTATGGCAATTAAGGGATCTTAAGGAAAGGCATCATAGGACTATCAAATGCCAGTGCTAATCTTTATACTTAAATAGTTTTACAAGTAGCAAGAGGAATCAAGTGGCAATTAAAGATGGTTGCTGTCAGAATAATATTGTTCTAAACCTACCCAGTGTTGGAAATATGACAAATAAAGGCACTTGTTTTCTCTTTCAGAATCCAGATCATCTTCATTCCTACCACACACCAGTGTTCGATACTGACCTCTGTAAACTCAGTGTTCAGCTGTTCAAGGACGCAACACAATCTGTGAAGGTCAAGGATGTGACCTGTGAACCCGAAAGTGTAAAACCAGAGGTCACATGTCAGTGACAAATGAGATAATACTCATGATTTGTAAAGAGAATCTGTAAAGAGAGAAAAACAGGTATATGAAAGTGTTGTATGTTTGATCCATAGAGAGAAAACAGGTTTACGAAAGTGTGATGTGGAAGTAAAGAAAATTTTCAATACTTTGATAATCTGATACTCATGTTTGATCAATCTTTTGTAATATTTTGGTAAGAAATACAGTTTTATATCCTGCATGACTGTTTAGATACAAATTCTAAAAACAGTTATGTTAATGTTTCAGCCTAGAATAATTGCATATTTATAAACACAAAACAGGGTATAAAAAAACACTTGTTGCCACTGTTCAAACAAACATTTTGATTTTGTTAAGTGAGGTTTTGGGGGAACTGGAGCTGAATTTTAACTGGACTTGTGGATGCAACCTTACTTTTTTTATCTTTACCATGATTATCACAAAACGGTTGAATTGTAAATGATAATTGTGATGAAAAAATGAAATCTTCTGTAATGTCATGAACTTAACAGTTAAAGTGAGGATACCGTCTTTCGATAATGCGGTAAATATAAACCAGAGGCTTGCGAAAGGTTTGAGTTTCAGAACTGTTACACTGAGGGTTGGAGTTTTATAGTCTACAATCAAAGAAAGGAATTGATGTTTTTTCTCAATCAATCCTTTTTTCACCGACCATCCAGTTATAATATCATATCATCTGAGTGTAAAAAGTTGCATTGCACTTTTTATTTTGTCACCATAAGTGCATGCAGCTTGTTTCTAGTCTAGACCCTATAGTGGGGTGGGGGAGAAAAATCACTTCTTGTTAAAGGGAGTCAAGTCAATGAAGAGCAAGAGAGAATATTTCATTAAATCGTATCATCCCATGTTTAATTCAAATTTTCCATTAAACATGTCAAACATGTTCTGTATAGGATAAGGAGTCATTTTCCTATTTCATGTAATCATCCTTTAAAGGGAGTATTTTTGTACATAAAAACTATGTAAAATATTAATGTGTATGTTTAAGTGTCAACATTGATTGTAAAATAAAACATGTATAAGATTTGTAAACAAGGATTTTGTTTTGTTTGAGTGTGTTCACTCCACTCAGAATCTTTGACACAAAACACTTGAATCCTTCATATCTGAGTTCAGGGAGACCTATTTATCTGATCCATAGTAAAATGATTGCAGTGACTAGAAACTGTTGGTTACAATTTGATGAGCTTTTCACCCTTAGGACTGATTTGGTCTTTTGATCACTAACCTTTTTTATCCTCATGGTCTTTACCTTCTATGAAGAAAAAGGATCATGTAAACCATAGTATTGAAAGTAGTGTTCAGAATTAAATTGAATCAAAGTACTGAAAGTCTTATACAATGCAAAAATTGAAAAAAGAATTGAAGACTGATTTAGGCAATCACTGGTATAATCATATTTCATGTTGGTCAAGGTCATTCATTGAAACAGTTTGAAAGCCCTTCATTCTAGAATGCTCTTTGCTAAATGGGATGGACCTAGGCTTTTCCTTATTTAGGAGAGATTATTTGAATATTTTGACATATTTGATCCTTGTGACATTGAAAGTTTGAGGTCAATCGTACTTTTAACCTAATAGCAAACCACCTGAGCATGTACACAGATCAAATATCAAGACTCTTGACTAAGTAAAACCTGAGATGAACTTTTTCAAAGATTTTAACTTGAAATGGCACATTCAAACTTATACCCCTATTGAGAACCAAAAGCTGACCTTTGACACAAAATGTTTACTGAGACAATATGTGCATTAGCGTCCTTCACATCATGTCAGAATAAAATGTAAATGCTTTAAACCGTTTTCGAAATATTATGCTTTTAAAATATTGAACTTTTTAAAACATTTGACCTCTGTGATCTTGAAAGTGAATTAAGGTCAATCGTTTTTCTTAAAATGATAGCAAACCATATCAGCATCTTACAGATAAAATATCAAGACCTTGAAGAACTTGAGAATAAGCTTTTCCAAGTTTCCATAAAAAGTTTACCTTTGACACACAAATTTTCAAGAGAATTTTTTTTGCATTGCTGGTCTCCATAACATTTCCAAAGATGAAATTGATGGCTTCATTCGTTAATGAGTTATTGCAATTAGGAAAAAACGGATGTGACGTCATGGCACATTTTTAAAAATTTTGATCAAGATAAAAATTCAAAAAAATTGAAAGGTTGGTTGGGCCAGCAGAAATATCCAAAATGGATAAAATCTGATTAACAGAACATCAGAAAATAACGGGTTTAACATATTTTTTGACTTTTTTATCAAAGGAATTATTAAAAAGGTGTACGTTGTTAATGGGAAATGTTACAGAAAAACTGAAGACATCAAATTCATTTTGAAGGAATTACCCATCGACTATAAAAACAATTGTAAAAGGTTGAAAAATTGGTGACCTTTGACCCAACAGCGAGGATTTTTATTTGATCTTTTTGTATTAACATGAAGTGAGAAAAATTTAGCCCTGAAGAATATCCCAAAATTATATGAATGCTATGTGATAGCTTTTCAGTTATGGCCAATTTAAATATTTTGGTCTATGACGTCATGGCGGCAATATTGGGTTTAAAACAAACTTGAAAATGTTGCAATGACACTATTTGACCATGGCCTACAATATATTTGAAAGTAAAAGATTAAGTGGCCACAAAATCATGGCAGAAGATGAAAAATATTAAGAAAATAACGAAAACCATAGGCCTTTTCACCAAAGTTGGCAGGGTTATATAAAAAACAAATGACAAGAGTTTCTTAGAACTTCCCTAGTGCTTTCACCTTATAAATATATATATGTATATAATGCACAATAATTTCCGGAGTATATCTCAAAAATCCTAACAAAATGTATCGTTAAATATTTCTATGACCAAATTTCATTGCATAGAGGTGCACTTTTAATATTTTTAAGTATCTGATTTTAAGAATTTTCCAGTTTTCATGGAATTGATGTGCAATTTCAATACATTATGATGCATATTTACGTTTTTGGACCGCATCATAAAAAAACGTTGTAAGGGTAGATTTGTTCGTCATGCTAACATTGGACTTGGTGTCACATCAGGACGAAGCCTTTAATATTTTATCATTACGATTTCAAGAAATTTCCAGTTGTTAGAAGTGGAGTCCAGAATATATACTTCAAGGTGATACAGTATTTTGTTTTCTGGAGCGTTTAAAAATCTGTAACCGATTTGATTTGTCAACTTTACACACAGGTCGGTTAAAGTTTCCTGTGCAGGGCAACTTTTGAGACTGATCGGATAAAAAACATGGCCGACAGGCAGCCATCTTGGATTTTGATAGTGAAAGTTTGTTATCGCTATTTCTCAAGAAATACTAGAGGTATCTTTCTCAAATTTTATATGTAGGTTCCCCTTGGTCCTGAGCTGTGCAGGGCAACTTTGAGACTGATCAGATAAACAGCATGGCCGACAGGCAGCCATCTTGGATTTTGATAGTGAAAGTTTGTTATCGCTATTTCTCAAGAAATACTAGAGGTATCTTTCTCAAATTTTATATGTAGGTTCCCCTTGGTCCTTAGCTGTGCAGGGCAACTTTTGAGACTGATCAGATAAACAGCATGGCCGACAGGCAGCCATCTTGGATTTTGATAGTGAAAGTTTGTTATCGCTATTTCTCAAGAAGTACTAGAGGGATCTTTCTCAAATTTTATTTGTAGGTTTCCCTTGGTCCTGAGCTGTGCAGGGCAACTTTGAGACTGATCAGATAAACAGCATGGCCGACAGGCAGCCATCTTGGATTTTGATAGTGAAAGTTTGTTATCGCTATTTCTCAAGAAATACTAGAGGTATCTTTCTCAAATTTTATATGTAGGTTCCCCTTGGTCCTTAGCTGTGCAGGGCAACTTTTGAGACTGATCGGATAAAAAACATGGCCGACAGGCAGCCATCTTGGATTTTGATAGTGAAAGTTTGTTATCGCTATTTCTCAAGAAATACTAGAGGTATCTTTCTCAAATTTTATATGTAGGTTCCCCTTGGTCCTGAGCTGTGCAGGGCAACTTTTGAGACTGATCGGATAAACAACATGGCCGACAGGCAGCCATCTTGGATTTTGATAGTGAAAGTTTGTTATCGCTATTTCTCAAGAAATACTAGAGGTATCTTTCTCAAATTTTATATGTAGGTTCCCCTTAGTCCTGAGCTGTGCAGGGCAACTTTTGAGACTGATCAGATAAACAGCATGGTCGACAGGCAGCCATCTTGGATTTTGATATTGAAAGATTGTTATCGCTATTCCTCGGGAAGTATCAAAGGGATCTTTCTCAAATTTTATATGTAGGTTCCCCTTGGTCCTGAGCTGTGCAGGGCAACTTTGAGACTGATCAGATAAACAGCATGGCCGACAGGCAGCCATCTTGGATTTTGATATTGAAAGATTGTTATCGCTATTCCTCGGGAAGTATCAAAGGGATCTTTCTCAAATTTTATATGTAGGTTCCCCTTGGTCCTTAGCTGTGCAGGGCAACTTTTGAGACTGAGCAGATAAACAACATGGCCGACAGGCAGCCATTACGATTTCAAGAAATTTCCAGTTGTTAGAAGTGGAGTCCAGAATATATACTTCAAGCTGATACAGTATTTTGTTTTCTGGAGCGTTTAAAAATCCTTAACCGATTTGATTTGTCAACTTTACACACAGGTCGGTTAAAGTTTCCTGTGCAGGGCAACTTTTGAGACTGATCGGATAAACAACATGGCCGACATCAAGAGTTACCTCATGGTGCATTTACTGTTAACATGACTTGATCAAACAGATTAGAGGAAAGAAGAGAAAAGATCGAACTGACAAAGAACTAATGGAGATGGTACAAAGGTGGGTGCCAAGATCCCTCTGTGATCTCTTGTGATTATTCTGATTTCTAAAATGTTTTGGTTGAAATGGAAACGGTGCACACGATATGCTTATTTTGATCCATGTTTACCTTTAATATAAATCCTCATCTGTGAATAATTGGATACACCACGGCTAGTCTCCAGCTTCGCTACCAAGTCCAAATATAAGTTAACCATGATCCCACTCCCCCGATATTTATGAGGATTGCGGGATGATTAATGTTTGAGGGTTGGGGTATGATAAATGTTTGAGGGTTGGGGTATGATTAATATTTGAGGGTTGGGGTTGATGGATGTTTGAGGGTTGGGGTATGATTAATGTTTGAGGGTTGGGGTTAATTGATGTATGAGGGTTAGGGTATGATTACTGTTTGATGGTTGGGGTATGGTTAATGTTTGAGGGTTGGGGTATGATTAATGTTTGAGGGTTGGGGTATGATTAATGTTTGAGGGTGGGGGTTGATTAATGTTTGAGGGTTGGGGTATGATTAATGTTTGAGGGTTGGGGTATGATTAATGTTTGAGGGTTGGGGTATGATTAATGTTTGAGGGTTGGGGTATGATTAATGTTTGAGGGTTGGGGTATGATTAATGTTTGAGGGTTGGGGTATGATTAATGTTTGAGGGTTGGGGTATGATTAATGTTTGAGGGTTGGGGTATGATTAATGTTTGAGGGTTGGGGTATGATTAATGTTTGAGGGTTGGGGTATGGTTAATGTTTGAGGGTTGAGGTTGATGAATGTGTGGTGGTTGCGGGATGATTAATGTTTGAGGGATAGGGGATGATTAAAGTTGTAATATATACCATATACCACCTCTAACCAGCACTATGAGGGTGGTGATGTACGTGTAGGTTTGTGGTTGTACTATTAATTGTAATACGGCGTCGTGCTGTCTGAGGTTTTCAGGATTATCTGTGTCGCAAAAGATCGCGAAAAAATCAGGTCAGGTATATTTTTTCAGCTATATCCTCTTCTTGATGGCGAACTAAAAGCTGCTGATCTATCATCATGTATTTCGACCCAGGAGTCAACAGAAATGGAAACATCATAGATTCAAAGTATTTTAAATTCACCACAACATGTTACATCCTAGAAAGGTTTGGATATTGAATCTTCAGAAGTAATAGAAGACGATGATTACTATCATCTGACTGGTCGAAACACTTCAGTTCTC